TCCCGATAAACTATCTCGATGTTATTTGTAGTAGCCTTTGCATATATATACTCGCCGCGTGCATGCATGGCACGTCAGTCGTATGCCTGCGGCATAGGATCGTCTGAGGGTATGACACAAATGCTTTCATGGCCGTCGAAGTGTGTATTGTGAATTAGACACAAATCGCATGTTTGCCGACATGTTAAAAGATCATCACAGTGCTACAAGCAATAAATAATCCATGACATTCCGAATCCAATCACAGCAATATATACACGCACACATACAAAAATCATCTCCGCTTACCGTACACACCATGGCTGATCGTCAAGAAGACCTTTGTGCCACCTATAGTCGACCTGATTCTAGGGTACGGAGTTGTGGAGCTGCGAGTCTCTCCGAGTTATCCCAGTTGCCTGTCGCTTCGCCCCATCCTTCTCCTCCAGCCCTTCCATCTGGTCTGACCGGCGTTTGACCGGCTTGCTCGAACCCTCTGCCTGATCTCCTGCAGCGCTCGCCTGCGCCGAAAGACGAAGGCTCCTCCTCAGCAGTCCTTTCTCCTGCTGTCCGCTCGTTGTTTTCTTCTTCGACTGCTTCGACTGCTTCGACTGTCTTGGTTGCTTCGCGTTCTCCACCTGAGAGAACTTTTCTGTGGCCATCCCGATGTCATCGAACTTGTCGCTGACTTTGTCACGGACAAATCCTTTAGATAGGCTTCTCACCGCTGTCAAAAAGATTGCGAGAATCTCGGCATGCGTGGCGAGAGACAAGGTGCCCACGTCAGCTGTCTTCACAGTAGATGGACCAGGCTGAGGCCTGGGTTTCTTGTCCTCAGAATCCAATAAGGGATCTTCGAGCGGCGGCGCAGTGAAATCTGGCTCGAAGGTTGGTTTGGCTGGTGGAGCTGGTTGGGGCGCACGAGCCTTGAGTGCCAGGTAGTGGTTGTGTGCGAGCTTTAAGAGAGAATCGAGTAATTCCACAAACACATCCATTGTGTTTTTTGGCTGCCAGTCCCTGCTACCGGATATCCACTGTTTGTATTTCCCTGTGCCGCCCACGTGGCGGCGACCCTGATCGTAGTCACGGAACTCGAAGAACTGCAGGACATGTTCTTTCAGCCAACCTGCGCTTTCTATTGGCAGGAGGTATTGATGGTCGTGGAACCTCAATGCCATCCATTCCATGATGAGAATGACAGACTCGAGATCATCCGAAACCTCGTTCTGTGCAGTCGGATTCATGAGTAGTCGTGCAGAGATGAACTGCCATGTGCCCTGAATATCCCAATGATAGTGTGAGACGGTGGACAGGATTGAGAGAAGAAAAGACTCGCCGACCGCCCCACTCGCTTCGCACCACTGTTGAGCTCATCTTTGGACTTGGCAAGATGCCAATCAATCAGAAGAGCTCTGATGGGTCGAGGCTTATTTTTAGGAAGGTCTCGGGGATCGACCTCATCGAAGACCATATTGTAAGGACTCATGTCCCGTTGTAGCAAGCCGCACTTCTCCCACGCCTCGCAGTGTGCTGCCATCGAAAGATTAGCACCAATGAACTACAGAATGCGACTTCCATCTCACCTCTCAGCACGCAAAAGCCCGCCATAATCAGTTCGCCTGAACTGGAATATTTATCCAATGGTCGACCAAGCTCCTTGAGTACGATGCGATAATGTCTCCGGACGGGACGCCCGTGCTTCAGATCGTCGCAAGCCTTCGTCTTCTGCTCGCCTACATAGCCACCGTACAGGCACGTTGCAGTGTACGGTACCTCGGCCTCCTGGATACACTTGTACGTCGTGTGCTCACCGTCCTCCCATTCCTCCGGCCAGCAGTCCTTCACCGTGCACATCCTCTCGGTCTTTATGTTGTATGCTGCATACACTCTCGTAGCCCGGCCAGTGGGCGAATAGATCTTGTACAATGGCCGTCCGATGAGGAAATCGCCATCTTCCCGTGGTTGTTTGAACCCGGCCTGCTCCGCTGGCATCGTCACTCTGTATACAGGCCACCCTGACTCGAAGAATGCGTCCGCAACACAATCCTGATGATACGGCGTCATTTCAGCCCTGACGTCGTTCACTGCAGCGATATCTTCAGCCGTGGCAGCAATCACAGAAGAGTCATAGCCGAGTTCCTCCCGGTTCATCTGTCCGAGGTGATAGAGGAACGTCGACAGAGCGCTCGACTTGCCGGTGAAATTGAAGGGCTTTGTGCAAACGAATTGCGAGTGATCAGCGTAGAACAGAGTTGCCTGAGTCCTCCAAATGTTGATGAAGAAGACGTGCGTGCGAGGTTGAGCGTTCATGATCGCCGTCGCATACTGGTACATCTGTCCTCTCGCCTTCCTCGCATCATCGGTATCCCGAGGCATATATTCGTCCTTCCGCTTCTCGAATGGATTCTTGTTTTCAGCCGCCTTGAACTCCACGAACACGCAAGCGTGAGGCCAAGCCGCTCTGCCCAAGTACTGACGGCGTTCCTCCGGAGTCACCTTCGCGTCCTCCAGCTGATCTTGACTCAATTCATAAGCTTTGCGTGCCTCCGGTGTGTTGGCATAGAACGTCAGATCAGGCTTCTTCCCCTCTTCGATGTCCGGATGATTTCCGGTATCTTTGACGACTAGCGTACGCACACGTTTCTTTCTGCCACCTGCAGCACTACCGGCGTCGAGTATCTCCTGTGCGACGCGGGCCTACATTGATCTATCATCAGAAGCCATTCTCAAAATCGCCCACGGTGACGGCGAGATACTCACAAATTCTGCGTGCATCTTATTCTCTTCCGTCACATTGAACTTGCTCTTGCTGAACTCCGGAAACTTCGCGCGCACCGCCGATGATGGATCCACCCTGCTCGAATAGGTGGACAACCACTTCTCATCGTTGATAATGCCCAGAAAAGGGTCAACTTCTTCACTGAGTTCCATGCGATACTTCTGCAGGTTGACTGGTCCGGTCGTTGGGGTAATAGAGTGGACTTGCGCGCTGGATGCCTTATGCACACGAGGAGTTGTGGGTGGCTGAGACCCAAGCGGGACGACGGGCTGCGGAGGTGTCTTCGGTGGACCTTGACTGCCGAGAGATGGACCGGTGACTGCTGTGTCCTCGGTGAGCTCCGACTGAGTGAGCGAGGGCGCAGAGATTCCACGAGTGACGTCTGAGACACTCGATTGAGACTCTTGAGTGTGCGAAGATTCTAATGCAGTGTCTTTCTTGAGATGTGGGCCTCAACACAGCGAGAAAAAAGCTCACCGTTGGCAGAGGAAGAGGCGTCGTCACCGATATCGGTGGTATCGGTATCGTCACCGTCGAAATCTGAGGCTGGTGGAGGAGACGCGGGACCAACGCTCTGAGAGTGAGACCTGGAGAACGGATGATTGTCGCTTTCTGGACGAAGGATATCGTCAACAGAGCTCGCTCGAGAAGACATGGTCGAATTGTTGGGAGGCTTACCAGCTCTGAGAGCCCTCTATATACCACCTGCACGGCTTCAACACGAGGCGTATGCAATATTCGATCCGGTTTGACCGTGGCCAAAATGTAGGCGATTGACTCGAGATGTCGGCAACGTGTTCGACGGCACGCAGGGCTAATCGGTGAAGAGTCGCCTAAAGGATGCGAGTGACGAGCGGCACAAAGGCGAGATGAGTCAATTGGCTCAATGAAAGTAGCGGACAAAGGATGTGAGACAGCGAACACGAGTTTCGGTGGCAAGTGTGGCGCGGAGATCGACGCGCGATTGGCGTTCCCGATTGGGCGAAACAATGGACACGTAACACGTGGCTGCCTTCACGTTGATCACGTGTGCGCGCGATACACTTCGTGCTCCCCGCCATCATTGTCCGTTCCATCGTTCTGCCATTGCTTGCTGTTCTGATCCTGCATTCCCACATATTTCTAGCAGCAAGGTTTGCATTCCAACTGATTTACTGATTTTTTTCTTCCCATGATCTGCTTGATGTTTTGCAGGCAAAGCGAGGCACTAGCACCCGTTCCGGGTCACTGCCACTCAGCGGAGCGGCTCAGATATTCACCGGCACCATCCCACAAGTGCGTGTCGACAGGAATTCACAGAAGTGTGTGATGTAATGCCATGTATGCCTTGTGATGGTGACTAAGTTGGTCCCAGTGGCGACTTCCTGCGCTTCGATCTGCGCAGGAGCATTCAAGCGACACAAGCATGTGTCGCCTCTTCCTGCCGTGTTTTACACGCACGGTTCTCTTGGAAAACAGCAGGAAACCATGTGTTACCTGGCCTTCTGCCCACGTTCTAATGAAACCGCCAAGAAAATACCACTATGCATGTTTGGCCTTGGGCTTGTGGAGGTGATGCGCCTCGAAATACCACGGTGGCAGCGTAAGGCAAGGAGTGAAGGGCACATCCTGTGAATGTGATAATAATGAAGGCTTCCTGAGTGATCACACGATTGTCGAAGGTGAAACCTGAGAAGAGGTTAAGTTTTATCATTGTACCACGTTCTCGCGGCCATCTAATACACGGCGGAGTCAACTTTACATTCTAGTCCGGCATCTGGACAGCACGGGTGCCGGGATTGGCATTAATTTTCGAGACGTGAGCACTAGTGACAGCCGTGAACAACACACCGTCTCATTCAATGCTAATCGTAACAATATGAGCCGGAAGACGGAAACAACGGACAAAACAAACATACCAGATAGTACTTCGTAGCCTTCTACCCCTCATTCAGATGTCATCCGACACATCATGCATCATTGCTCGGATAACATGCAGTTTACATTACGTTCTCTCCCTGGTTCTTCAGCCATCTGCGGACGACGCTCGGCTTGGGACAGGCTGTCGACTCTCCCTTGCCCTCGGTTCGTTCATACATAGACTGGCGACATTCGTACAATTTGCGCAGATACTCGTGGCATTTGTCGGGGCTGTATGTGTTGCGGTTGAGACACGCCTGAAGCTCACAGGCTGCGTCAAAGAAATAGCTATCTTCCGATTCCTCGTTCGGTGTTAATCAGGACTACTAACCTTCAGCTTGGCATGCTTGCTCGGAAGATGGCTAGAATGACCAGGACGATCAATCGCCTGAAAGCTGCTAAGTCATCGTACATGCCTCGCTCATGGCGCCGGTCTGACTCTGAAGTACTGTGAGACCGTTGCTTGTTGGCTGGTTGATTGAGTCAATCGTCTGGCTCGAGCTGCAGGGGGAAAGAAGTTTCGAGTTCAAGTTGTCAATATGTCGCTGTTCGAACGTTAGACTTCAAATTTCAAAGCTTCATGCTTCAAGCAAGCTTCAACTTCAAGGTTTCGGGATCCAATTGCCAGCGCCTGATGACGTCATTGGAAGGTAGTTACATATACATAAATCGGAGCAATCAACCAATACGGCATGTCTACAGGATCAACAGAACAATCATCAAGCGTCCGCCATCAAAAGATGCGGACTCGAGTACACAGCCTCGAATCTGCGTTAGTGTGCGGAACTGCGGTGAGATTCACGCAAAGGCTGTCGCGACTCTGAAACATGGATCAATGATCATCAATCATGCCGGCAATCCCGCCACCACCTGCATCAGGACATGGAGCTGAGCCGCTACGTTTCGACCACAGGACACCAGTCTCCTGCACGATTCCGCTCGAACTATGTTGATGAGTGCATGAGACTTCGTGTTTTCCAATGCAACCTCTCATAAGCTACACAGTGGTTCAGGGGCCGAAAGAGCACATCATTTGACGTCTCAATCTCCTTGTCAATCATGCGACAGCTCTATCACTTACCTTGACCTAGACTAAGTGGCTGTTCTTGCCGCGGTGGCCGTAGGTTGTCGCAAGTAGATCCATGGCAAGTTCCACCTCACACCGCCTTTTTTGATGGCAGGCACAATCAATATATGTGCGCTCCTCCGCCTCCAGGCGAGTGTACGCTGCTTCTTCTTGTCCACCATCAGACTGAGCGGGTGACATACAAGGTAACGCAAGCACGCCAGCTTTCTATACTCCCAGGGTTACTGAACCTGGGCGACTACCGTCTTTGCAGGTGATGAACAACTGGCTTGTCGCCGTCATAGTTTCGACGGTCGTAGCGGGAGCCGCGATCGTCGTGCTCACCGTCGCGCTACTCCATCATCGTTCCCAACAGATATCACAGCCGTCCTCACAGGATGGGGCCCTCGACCATATAATGCATGACAATCTGTCAGGAGCAGAGCTCGGACTCCAGCACTTATCCTCTTGGTCGCTGTCCCAAATAACTCTGCTAACGTCCGAGAGCGGAAAGTGCCCTTCCCATCAAGAAGTTGTCAATCTTCCGAATCCGTCAAAGCAAGTAGAGGACGCGTCTATGCATTCTACACATGATATATCGTACCTAGCCATCGGAATCCCACTCAAGCCAAACTGCCTCGAGGACTTCTCTCATGGGAAGCTGGGTTGGATACACCACGAGTTGGCCCTGAAGACAAGGACACGCGATACTCCCTCTCACGGTGGAGCAGAGGGCAATAGCGCGAAAGCAGCGGTACGGCCACCTTTCATCTCTCGCTTCAGACCCGCTCGCCGAGAGCCCGATCGCGGTGCGTCTGTGTCAAGGAGGTCCTCGGACGCACAACGCCTTGTACGTGACCCGATCCGATCTGCGTCACCAACTGCTAACACAGTCGTCGTCTTCAGGACTCCTCCGAGTCCCCAGCCCCAATCAACCACGATTGATCCACCCAAAGCTCCCCCCGTTCTCTCCCTCATCACCATATCAGACTTTCCCATGGCACCCTTCGCATCACAAACTCAAAAAGACAACCACGGTGACGACGAAGAGCTCGGAATCATCTCGTCGCATTTCTCCTCTCCATCCACCACGCCCACTACTCCGCGAGTGGAACACCCCAGCTGGTGGCCGGGCGTACTGCACGGCGCATCTCCCTGGAGGAACATAGTAAGGCTCGTCCACTGCGCTCGCCATCTTTCAACACCGTGGTTCGGCCCAGACTCTCCCCAGTGGCGACTCTACGCATGCCGAGCGCCTTTCACCTGACGCCCAAGAATGGACATCCTAGAGGCGGCACTGCTCCCACGTCTGCGAAACGCTCTGTGTAGTTGCTCTTGAGTCTTGATTGGCGACGCACAGTTCTAACCATCTCACTGAAAAATGCATTAGCTCATTGTCACGCGAACCATTAGTGCATCACAGACGGGATTTGAGACACCTCTCTGCCCAGGGACCGACGGTATGGACGGACAATTTGGCACAAGAGGGTGAAGCATCCCGATAAACCATCTCGATATAATCTGTAGTTGTCCTTGCATGTATTCGCGTGCATGCATGGCACGTCAGTCGTATGCCTGCGGCATAGGATCATCTGAGGGTATGACACAGATGCTTTCGTGGTCGTCGAAGTGTGTATTGTGAATTAGACCCAAATCGCATGTTTGCCAACATGTTGTAAAAGATCATCACAGTGCTACAAGCAATAAATAATCCATGACATTCCGAATCCAACCGCAGCAATATATACACGCACGCATACAAAATCATCTCCGCTTACCGTACACACCATGGATGATCGTCAAGAAGACCTTTGTGCCACCTTCAGTCGACCTTACTCTACGTCGTGGGGTTGCGGAGATGCGAGCCGCTCCGAGTTGTCCCAGTTGCCTGTCGCTTCGCTCCGTCCTTCTCCTCCAGCCCTTCCATCTGGTCTAACCTGCGTTTGACTGGCTTGCTCAAACCCTCTGCCTGTTCTCCTTCAGTGCTCGCCTGCGCCGAAAGATGAAGGCTCCTTGTCCTCCGCAGTCTTTTCTCCTGCTGTTCGCTTGTTGCTTGCTTCTTCGACTGCTTCGACCGCTTGGCATTCTCCGCTAGAGAAAACTTCTCTGTTGCCATTCCGATGCTTTCGAACTTGTCGCTGACTTTGTCACGGACAAATCCTTTAGATAGACTTTCCATTGCTTCGCGGAAAGTTGTGATAATCTCGGCATGCGTGGCGAGAGACAAGGTGCCCGTGTCAGTTGTCTTCACAGTGGCAGATGGACCTGGCTGAGGCCTGGGTTTCTTAGCGAGCTTTTTGGGTAGCGCCGCAGTGAAATGCAACTCGAAGGTTGGTTTGGCTGGTGGAGCTGGTTGAGGTGCACGAGCCTTGAGTGCCAGGTAGTGGTTGTGTGCTAGCTGCAAAAGAGAGTCCAATAAATTCTCGAACACGGACATTGTGTTTTTTGGCTGCCAGTCCCTGCTACCGTACATCCATTGTTTGTATTTCTCTTCGCCGCCGACATGGTGATTGCCGAAATCGTAGGCACGAAATTCGAAGAACTTCAGGACATGTTCTTTCAGCCAGCCTACACGATCCATCTCGCACTGATGGTCGTGGAACCTCAATGACATCCATTCCATGATGAGAATGACAGACTCGAGATCATCCGAAACCTCGTTCTGCGCAGTCGGATTTCGGAGCAGTCGTGCGGAGATAAATTGCCATGTTCCCTGAATATCCCAATGACAGTGTGAGATGGTGGACATTATTGAGAGCAGAAAAGACTTGCCGATCGTCCCACTCGTTTCGCACCACTTTTAAGCTCGTCTTTGGACTTGGCAAGATGCCAGTCAATCAGAAGAGCTTGGATGCGTCGGGGTTCATCCTTAGGACGGTCTCGGGGATCGACCTCATCGAAGACCATATTGCCAGGGCTCATGTCCCGGTGTAGCAAGCCGCACTTCTCCCATGCCTCGCGGTGTGCTGCCATCGAAAGATCAACACGCAATGAACTACACAATACGGCTTGCATCTCACCTGTCAACACGCACCATCCCGCTACAATCAGTTCTCCCGAGCTTTCGTAGCTATCCAGTGGTCGAGCAAGCTCCTTGAGTACGATGCGGTAATGTCTCCGGATGGGACGCGTGTGCTCCAGATCGCCGCAGGTCTTCGTCTTCTGCTCGCCTACATAGCCACCATACAAGCACGTTGCAGTGTACCGTACCTCGGCCTCCTGGATACACTTGTACGTCGTGTGCTCACCGTCCTCCCATTCCTCCGGCCAGCAGTCCTTCACCGTGCACATCCTCTCGGTCGTCATGTTGTATGCTGCATACACTTTCGTAGTCCGGCTTGTGGGCGAATAGATCTTGTACAATGGCCGTCCGATAAGGAAATCGCCATCTTCCCATGGTTGTTTGAACCCGGCCTGCTCCGCTGGCATCGTCACTCTGTATACAGGCCACCCTGACTCGAAGAATGCGTCCGCAACACAATCCTGATGATACGGCGTCATTTCAGCCTTGACGTCGTTCACTGCAGCGATATCTTCAGCCGTGGCGGCCGTCACAGAAGAGTCATAGCCGAGTTCCTCCCGGTTCATCTGTCCGAGGTGATAGAGGAACGTTGACAGAGCACTCGACTTGCCAGTGAAATTGAAGGGCTTTGTGCAAACAAACTGCGAGTGATCAGCATAGAACAGAGTTGCCTGAGTCCTCCAAATGTTGATGAAGAAGACGTGCGTGCGAGGTTGAGCGTTCATGATCGCTGTCGCATACGCGTACATCTGTCCTCTCGCCTCCATCGCATCAGGTGTATCTCGAGGCATGTACTCGTCGTCCTCCTGCTTCTCAAATGGATTTTCTTCATCAGCCGCCTTGAACTCCACAAAAAGGCACGCGTGAGGCCAAGCCGCTCTGCCCAAGTTTGGCAAGTACTCAAGTCGCTCCTTCAGAGTCACCTTCGCTTCGTCGAGCTCATCCTGACTCAGCTCATAAGCCTTGCGTGCTTCAGGCGTATCAATGTAGAGTATCAGATCAGGCTTCTTCTTTTCTTCAACCTCTGGGTGACTCCCTGTGTCTTTTATGACTAGCGCAGGCATACCGCCCGTTCTGCCACCTTCAGGACTGCCGGCATCGAGGATCTCCTTAGCAACATGGGCCTATGTTGATCTATGTCAGAAGCCATCCTGGAAGTCGCTCAATGGAGACGGCGAGATACTCACAAATTCTGAAGGCATTTTGTTCTCTTCCTTGACATCGAACTTGCTGTCGATGAATGCCGGAAACGTCTCACGCACTGCCGGTGATGGATCCAACTTGTTCGAGTAGGTCGACAACCACTTCGAGTCATTGACGATAACCAAAGAAGGGTCGACTTCAGCACAGAGCTCCATGAGATACTTCAAGCTTCGACGTATGAGTCGAGTGCCTCAGTGAAAGCAGCAGACAAAGGATGTGAGTCGAGCAAGCGCGAACGTTTCGGTGGCAAAGTTGGCGCGGGGATGAACGCGATCGGCGTGCCCGATTGGGCGAAACAATGGACACGCAACACGTGGTCATGCTCACGTCGATCACGTGTGCGCGTCGTACACTTTGTGCCCGCCACCATCGTTGTCGTCCATTCCATCGTTCTCGCATTAAGTTTGCTGTCCTGATTCTGCAATACATAATTTTTCGAGCAGACAATTTAGCATGCCAACTGATTTACTGATCCTTTTTTGATCCGCTCAATGTTTTGCGGGCAAAGCAACCCATCGGTCACTGCCACTCACCAGAGTGGCTCAGATATTCACCGGCACCACGGATGAGTGCGTGTCGACAGGGATCCACAGAAACGTGTGATATAATGCCTTGTTCGCTTTGTAATGGTGGCTAATCTGGTCTCAGTGGCGACTCCCTGCGCCTGTTCGATCTGCGCAGGAGCTGGAGCACTGCGAGGACACACTGGCAAGTGTGTGTCGCTTCTTTATGCCATGTTTTACACGCACGGGTTCTCTTGGAAAGCAGCAGGAAACCATGTGCTACCTGGCATTCTGCACGCTTACTAATGAAACCGCCAAGAAAATACCACTGTGCGCGTTTGGCCTTGGGCTTGTGGAGGTGATACGTCTCAAGATACAATGAATCCCACGGTGGCAGCGTAAGGCAAGGAGTGAAGGACACACCCTGTGAATCTGACAATAACGAAAGCCGCCTGAATGATCACACGATTGTCGAAGGTGATTCCTGAGAAGAGGTTAAGCATTGTATCACATTCTCGCGTCCATCTGAGTGGGGGGACATCAAGCCGTAGATATGTGAGGGCCGCGTGGAGGGCCGGAAGGGGCTGGAGGATGCGTTGCGAGATGTGGAGCACACGCGCGAAGGAGAGTTGTCGGTCAGCACAGGTTCGCGTACTGGTGATGACCTCAAGCTAGAGGACGCAGCGCATTCAACACGTTCTCCCATCTGGGTCTGCGACTGTGCATCACCGACAGAAGACGACGTAAATCGCGAAGGCACTGCCATGCTATCTGGTCTTCCATCAGACGGATAACGTGCCAGAAACCGACCCACTTACCAGTAGCACCACTTTTGCCCTCACATGTGCGCATATATAGATCCCAATCGCGCCTGGGCACACGTAGGATGTTGGAGAAATGTTCGGCTCTCAAGTGTTGTAGCAGGTCGGTCCGTTGGCGAACATTCGAGGGTACCAGTTCTACCTTCAATGCCATAATCGCACATCAGCTCGAACGGCTTGCATCTTGCGTGGATAACATGGATACGGATATAAAGTTCGATGAGATGAACGAGTTACGGGCTGTTACATATTATGGCTGCGAACCATTTAGACTCCAAGGCTAGTCGCACGCGCGTCCCGGGACGGGTGATAAACGCGTGACTGTCGCTCGCGTGCGTCACGGTGCCCTCGAGTGGCGGCCACGGTCACGTCTTCCCTCCGCGTTCGTCCTAGAGTCTCATTCTGTCTCCTCAGGTCCAAGCCGACTGGCCGTCGCCCTGCCATTGAAAAGCTGTTATACTGCGAGCCGATTTAAGGGACTCGACAGTACTTTTATCGCTTGGACGGCAGTGGGTTGACCACGGCAGACTTTGCCTGTGCTCAAAACATCCGTGCTGCTTCGTGCCGGCTTCTCGGTTAGTCCAATGAGCGCTCGATCCATATCCTCAAGTACTTCAAGGTCTGTAGGGAATGCGAGCCGTTGATCAAGCTGAAGAAGAAGTGTGAGGAAGCGGGGAATGAGGATAGTACTTCTTCCTCCCGACCGTATGAAAAGGCGAAGAGCGAGGGTCAGCGTCAGCGTCGGAAAAGTAGGTCGTCATGCGATGTTCGCGTAATGCACCGGTCGCTCACTGCAATGATTGTTGGAACCTGCCGCAGACTCGTCTTCTGCACCGGACTGGCGTGCGAAGTCAAACAAGGGTCGCGCTCCGCCTACAGCCGCGGCCAACGTTCCACCCAAGCCCTCTCGGCTGCTCAACAAGGGGAAAGCGACGCCAGCTTCAAACGGCGCGTCCACGTCGAACAAGAAGAATGGCGATGCTTCCGAGCCTTCCGAGCCTTTTAGTGCATCCGACTCTGAGTCCATATCTGATCGTTGCACACCTCCCCCACCCAGAGGTACCAGCAGGCGGCCTCAGCCCCCATCCCAACCCAAGCGTGTCATACCCCCTCGCCCTGCTCGTCTCGAGAGGAAGGGCACTCGTGCGAACGCGAATTCCACTAATGCTGGAGAAGCTGCCACAGAGGAGGCTCCCAAGGCTATTCCACTCCGTCCCGCCCGGCTCACGAGGAACAAGGCTCCTGCTGCCCCCGTAGAGGCTCCCATTGCTGTAGAAGAGCCTCCCAAGGCCATTCCGCCCCGTCCCACTCGGCTCATGAAGAACAAAGGTCCTACTCAGGCTGCAGCAGCGACGCCCCAGGCCGAGTGGGATGCAAAGCGCGAAACATCGTCTCTGTGGCCGGAGCCCGATAACGAGGATCCGTGGGGCTCTGTCCCTCCTCTGCCTGCGATCTCTGGCCCGAAGGGCGGCAACAAGAAGGGCAAGGGAGGACGCAAGACGTGGGCAGATGAAGTGGAGGAGGAGGAAGCGCGGATTTTTGCGCAGGAAGGTTTGTGAGTGTTCACCCTCATACTCGTGCTCGTGAGTCTGAGAACAGTGCGTGAATCGCTTTTTGATTGCTGTCGCCTGGTGGGCTGTAGTTTGTCGTTCCTTTATCAGTGTAACGCACAAGGATCATGGATATAGAAGAGGATATTGGATTATCGTCACCGAATGTTACTTTTGTACCCTCTGATTCCTAGCAGCGCAGGCCTATACAATAGAATGGCTATATGTGGAAAAGAACATCATTGAAGTGTTGACATATATGCGCCACAGTACGGGTACTTTCGTTGTTGTCACAATGGTATAACCATCTCACTGCAAAATGCACAACCCAGGTGCATCTACGTGTCACGCGAACCATCACCGACATTCTTATCTATGTCGGGGTTCTCGACACCTCTCTGCCCATTCAAGGGCGTGGATGACCATTTTGGCGCAGGATGCCCAGGGTGAAGCATCCCGATATTATTTGTAGTAGCATTTGCATATACTCGCCGCGTGCATGCATGGCACATCAGTCGTGTTGTTAAAGATCATCGCAGTGCTACATGCAATAAATAATCCATGACATTCCGAATTCAATCACAGCAATATATACACGCAGGCATACAAAAATCATCTCCGAACCTTTGTGCCACCTAGAGTCGACCTACTTCTAGGCTACGGAGTTCTGGAGCTGCGAGCCTCTTCGAGTTATCCCAGTTGCCTGTCGCTTCGCTCCGTCCTTCTCCTCCAGCCCTTCCATCTGGTCTGACCGGCGTTTCACCGGCTTGCTCGAACCCTCTGCCTGATCTCCTGCAGCGCTCGCCTGCGCTGAAAGACGAAGGCTCCTCCTCAGCAGTCCTTTCTCCTGCTGTTCACTTGTTGTTTTCTTCTTCGACTGCTTCGATTGCTTCGACTGTCTCGGTTGCTTCGCATTCTCCGCCAGAGAGAACTTTTCTGTGGCCATTCCAATATCTTGGAACTTGTCGCTGACTTTGTCACGGACAAATCCTTTAGATAAGCTTTTCACCGCTGTCTTGAAGATTGCGAGAATCTCGGCATGCGTGGCGAGAGACAAGGTGCCCTTGTCAGTTGTCTTTACAGTAGATGGACCAGGCTGAGGCCTGGGTTCCTCATCCTCAGAGTCCGATTCGAGCTCTTTGGTTGGCGTCCCAGTGAAATCTGGCTCGAAGGTTGATTTGGCTGGTGGAGCTGGTTGGGGTGCACTAGCTTCGAGTGCCAGGTAGTGGTTGTGTGCTAGCTGCAAAAGAGAATCGAGTAGTTTCACAAGCACAGACATTGTGTCTCTCGGCTGCCATGTCCTCCTACCGGTCGTCCACTGTCGCCATTTCTCTATGCCGCCGACATGGTGGCGACCCTGATCGTAGCTGCGGAACTCGAAGAAGTTCAGGACATGTTCTTTCAGCCAACCTTCGCAATCTACTGGCACGAGGTACCGATGCTCGTGGAACCTCAATGCCATCCATTCCATGATGAGAATGACAGACTCGAGATCATCCGAAACTTCGTTCTGTGCAGTCGGATTCATGAGTAGTCGTGCAGAGATAAACTGCCATGTGCCCTGAATATCCCAATGATAATATGAGATGGTGGGCAATATTGAGAGAAGAAAAGACTTGCCGACCGTCCCACTCGCTTCGCACCACTGTTGAGCTCGTCTTGGGACTTGGCAAGATGCCAATCAATCAGAAGACCTCTGATGGCTGGGCGTTCACCCTCAGCAAGGTCTCGGGGATCGACCTCATCGAAGACCATATTGTAAGGACTCATGTCCCGTTGTAGCAAACCACATTTCTTCCACGCGTCACGGTGCGCTGCATCATTAATGTTGGCACACGATGCACTACACAGTATGACTTGTGTCTCACCTTTCAGCACGCAATAGGCGGCGATAATTAATTCACCTGAACTGGAATACTTATCCAGTGGTCGACCAAGCTCCTTGAGTACGATGCGGTAATGTCTCCGGACGGGACGCGTGCACTTCATACAGTCGCAAGTCTTCGTCTTCTGCTCACCTACAAAGCCCCCATACAGGCACGTTGCAGTGCACCGTACCTTCGCCTCCTGAATACACTCGTACTTGGTGTGCTCACCCTCCTCCCATTCCTCCGGCCAGCAGTCTTTCACCGTGCACATTCTCTCGGTCTTTATGTTGTATGCTGCATACACTTTCGTAGCCCGGCCAGTGGGCGAATAGATCTTGTACAATGGCCGTCCGATGAGGAAATCGCCATCTTCCTGTGGTTGTTTGAACCCGGCCTGCTCCGCTGGCATCGTCACTCTGTATACAGGCCACCCTGACTCGAAGAATGCGTCCGCAACACAATCCTGATGATAGGTCGTCATTTCAGCTCTGACGTCGTTCACTGCAGCGATATCTTCTGCCGTGGCGGGAATCACAGAAGGGTCATAGCCGAGTTCCTCCCGGTTCATCTGTCCGAGGTGATAGAGGAACGTCGACAGAGCGCTCGACTTGCCGGTGAAATTGAAGGGCTTTGTGCAAACGAATTGCGAGTGATCAGCGTAGAACAGAGTCGCCTGAGTCCTCCAAATGTTGATGAAGAAGACGTGCGTGCGAGGTTGAGCGTTCATGATCGCCGTCGCATACTGGTACATCTGCCCTCTCGCCTTCCTCGCATCATCGGTATCCCGAGGCATATATTCGTCCTTCCGCTTCTCGAATGGATTCTTGTTTTCAGCCGCCTTGAACTCCACGAACACGCAAGCGTGAGGCCAAGCCGCTCTGCCCAAGTACTGACGGCGTTCCTCCGGAGTCACCTTCGCGTCCTCCAGCTGATCTTGACTCAATTCATAAGCCTTGCGTGCCTCCGGTGTGTTGGCATAGAACGTCAGATCAGGCTTCTTCCCCTCTTCGATGTCCGGGTGATTTCCGGTATCTTTGACGACTAGCGTACGCACACGTTTCTTTCTGCCACCTGGAGCACTACCGGCGTCGAGTATCTCCTGTGCGACGCGGGCCTGATTGATCTATCATCAGAAGCGATTCTCAAGATCGCCCACGGTGACGGCGAGACACTCACAAATTCTGCGTGCATCGTATTCTCTTCCGTCACATTGAACTTGCTCTTGCTGAACTCCGGAAACTTCGCGCGCGCCGCCGATGATGGATCCACCTTGCTCGAATAGGTTGACAACCACTTCTCATCGTCGATAATGCCCAGAAAAGGGTCAACTTCTCCACAGAGTTCCATGCGATACTTCTGCAGGTTGACTACTCCGGTCGTTGGAGTAATAGAGTGGATTTGCGCGCTGGATGCCTTATGCACCCGGGGAGTTGTGGGTGGCTGAGACCCAAGCGGGACGACGGGCTGCGGAGGAGTCTTCGGTGGACCTTGACTGCCGAGAGATGGACCGGTGACTGCTGTGTCCTCGGTGAGCTCCGACTGAGTGAGCGAGGGCGCAGAGATTCCACGAGTGACGTCTGAGACACTGATTTGGGACTCTTGAGTGTGCGAAGATTCTAATGCAGTGTCTTTCTTGAGATGTAGGCCTCAACACAGAGAGAAAAAAGCTCACCGTTGGCAGAAGAAGAGGCGTCGTCACCGATGTCGGCGGTATCGGTATCGTCACCGTCGAAATCTGAGGCTGGTGGAGGAGACGCGGGACCAACGCTCTGAGAGTGAGACCTGGAGAACGGATGGTCGTCACTTTCTGAACGAAGGATATCGTCAACAGAGCTCGCTCGAGAAGACATCGTCGAATTGTTGGGAGGCTTACCAGCTCTGAGAGCCCTCTATATACCACCTGCACGGCTTCAACACGAGGCGTATGCAATATTCGATCTGGTTCGACCGTGGCCAAAATGTAGGCGATTGACTCGAGATGTCGGCAACGTGTTCGACGGCACGCAGGGCTAATCGGTGAAGAGTCGCCTCAACGATGCGAGTGACGAGCAGCACAAAGGCGAGGTGAGTCAATTGGCTCAGTGAAAGTAGCGGACAAAGGATGTGAGACAGGAACACGAGTTTCGGTGGCAAGTGTGGCGCGAAGATAGGCGAAGATCGACGCGCGATTGGCGTTCCCGATTGGGCGAAACAATGGACTCTCAACACGTGGCTGCCTTCACGTTGATCACGTGTGCGCGCCGTACACTTCGTGCTCCCCGCCATCGTTGTCCGTTCAATCGTTCTCACAATATTGCTTGCTGTCCTGATTCTGCATTCCCACATATTTATAGCGACAAATTTTACATTCCAACTGATTCAGTGATTATTTTTTCCTCCCATGATCCGCTTGATGTTTTGCAGGGGGCACCTCTTCCGGGTCACTGCCACTCACCGGAGTGGCTCAGATATTCACCGGCACCATCCCACGAGTGCGTGTCGACGGGACTTCACAGAGGCGTGTGTGATGTAATGCCATGTTTGCATTGTGATGGTGACTAAGTTGGCCCCAGTGGCGACTTCCTGCGCCTGTTCGATCTGCGCAGGAGCATTGCGACATAAGCGTGTGTCGCCTCTTTATGCCATGTTTTACACGCATGATTCTCTTGGAAAACAGCAGGAAACCATGTGCTACCTGGCGTTCTGCACGCGTACTAGTGAAACCGCCAAGAAAATACCACTGTGCACGTTTGGCGTTGCGCTTGTGGACTCTGGAGGTGATGCGTCTCAAGATACCACGGTGGCAGCACAAGGCAAGGAGTGAAGAGCATACCTGGGAATCTGATATTAATGCAAGCTGCCTGAGTGATCACACGATTGTCGAAGGTGATTCCTGAGAAGAGGTTAAGTTTTATCATTGTGCCACGTTCTCGCGACCATCCGAATACCACGGCGGAGTCAACTTTGCATTCTAGTTCGGCATCTGGACAGCACGAAAGCCGGAATTGGCATTGATTTTCGAGACGTGAGCACTTTACCGCGACAGCCGCGAACGACACACCATCTCATTGAATGCTCATCGTAACAATATGAGCCGGAAGATGGAGATAAAGGACAAAACGAACACACCAAATAGTACTTCGTAGTCTTTCATCCCCCTCATTCAAGTGTCATCCGACACATCATGCATCATTGCTCGGATCACATGCAGTTTACGTTACGTTCTCTCCATGGTTCTTCAGCCATCTGCGGACGACGCTCGGCTTGGGACAGGCTGTCGACTCTCCTTTGCCCTCGGTCCGTTCATACATGGACTGGCAACACTTGTACAATTTGCGCAGATACATGTCGCATTTGTCGGGGCTGTATGTGTTGCGGTTGAGACACGCCTGAAGCTCACAGGCTGCGTCAAAGAAATAGCTGTCTTCCGATTCCTCGTTCGGTGTTAATCAGGACTACTGACCTTCAGCTTGGCATGCTTTCTCGGAAGATGGCTAGAACGACCAGGACGATCAATTGCTTGAAAGCTGCTAAGTCATCGTACATGCCTCGCTCATGGCGCCGGTCTGAAGTACTACAGGACCGTTGCTTGTTGATTAGTTGGTCCAAAGTCAATCGTCTGACTCGAGCAAGGAGAAAGAGGTATCGAGTTCAAGTTGTCAACATGTCGCTGTTCGAACGTTAGACTTCGAGCTTCAAGGTTTCGGGATCCAGTTGGCGCCTGACGACGTACATAAATCGGAGCAATCAACCAATACGGCATGTCTACAGGATCAACAGAACAATCATCAAGCATCCGCCATCAAAAGATGCGGACTCGAGTACACAGCCTCGAATCTGCGTTAGTGTGCGGAACTGCGGTAAGATTCACGCAAAGGCTGTCGCGACTCTGAAACCTGGATCAATCATGCCGGCAATCCCGCCACCACCTGCATCAGGACATGGAGCTGAGCTGCTACGTTTCGACCACAGGACACCAGTTTCCTGCACGATTCTGCTCGAACTATGTTGGTGAGTGCATGAGACTTCGTGTTTCGCAATGCAACCTGTCATAAGCTACACAGTGGTTCATGGGCCGAAAGAGCACATTATTTGACGTCTCAATCTCCTTGTCAATCAAGCGACAGCTCTATCACTTACCTTGACCTAGACTAAGTGGCTGTTCTTGCCGCGGTGGCCGTAGGTTGTCGCAAGTGGATCCATGGCAAGTTCCACCTCACACCGCCTTTTCTGATGACAGGCACAATCAGTATATGTGCGCTCCTCCGCCCCCAGGCAGTTATACGCTGCTCCTTCTCGTCCACCATCAGACTGAGCGGCCGACAGACAAGGTGCGAGCACGCTATCTTTCCATACCGAGTCCAGGGTATGCTGAACTTGAGCGATTACCGGTCTCTACAGGTGATGAACAACTGGCTTGTCGCCGTCATAGTTTCAACCGTCGTAGCGGGAGCCGCGATCGTAGTGCTCGCCGTCGCGATATCCCGTCACCGTTCCCACCAGCTGTCAAAGGCGGCGTCACAGGACGCCCTCGACAATGTAACTCACAACAAGCTGTCAGAAGCAGAGCTCGGACTCCGGCGCTCATCCACGATGGCCTCTTGGTCGCCGTCGCGAATAACTCTGCTCACATCCGAGAGCGGAAAGCGCCCTTCCCATCAAGAAGTTGTCAATCTTCCGAATCCGTCAAAGCAAGGAGAGGACGCGTCTATGCATGATCCATCGTACCCAGCCATCGGAATCCCACTCAAGCCAAATCGTCTCGAAGATTTCTCTCATGAGAAGCCGGGTTGGATACACCATGAGTCGGCCCTGAGGACAGGGACATGCGACACTCCATCTCACGATGGAGCAGAGGGCAATCGCGCGAAAGCAGCGATACGGCCATCTTTCATCTCTCGCTTCAGACCCGCTCGCCGAGAGCCCGATCGTGCCAGTGGTGCGTCTGTATCGCAGATATCCTCGGACGCACAACGCCTTGTACGTGGCTCGACCTGATCCGCATCACCAACTACTAACACAATCGTCGTCTTCAAGGCTCCTCCCCAGCCCCAACTTGAATCGACCACGATCTCGGATCCGCCCAAAACTCCCCCGGTTCCCTCCCTCATCACCATCCCAGAATTCCCCACGGCACCCTTGGCATCACAAACTCAAAAGGATAACTACGGTGACGACGAAGAGCTCGGAATCATGTCGTCGCATTTCTCCTCTCCATCCACCACGCCCACCACCCCGCGAGCGGAACACCCCAGCTGGTGGCCGGGCGTACTGCACGGCGCGTCTCCCTGGAGGTACATAGTAAGGCTCGAGCCGATGCGCTCGCCATCTTTCAACACCGTAGATCGGCCCAGATTCTCCCCACTGGCGACTCTATGCATGCCGAGCGCCTTTCACTTGACGCCCGAATATGGATATCCCAGAAGCGGCGCTGCTCCCACGTCCGCGAAACCCTCTACGTAGTCGCTTTTGAGTCACCATACAGCTCTATCGACTATCTCCTTGCCGTTGGACTTGCTGAAGACACGTTCTGTGGGCCAGTATGAAACACCCAAACGCGTCAGTCTTTGGATGATAGCAGATAAACTCTAATTCCGCTAAGCTGCATGTATTACATCGTTAGTCGTCCACTAATAACATGTTGAGGAGGTAGCGCCCTAAGGAATGGTAGGAGAAGCGAGAGAGCCACATAAATTAATACAGATGGTGATGATGCTGTGGGCACGCCGCCGGGCGCGCGATGCTTTATATCCAACAAGTCCCTAATCCTCCTCCTCCGCCGAGCTCATCATGTCATACGTATGTGTCGTGTCGAACCACCGCATATTGAGGTCCTCGACGCGGTCGACGTGGAACTCCTGCAGCGCATAGTCGCGGCACTCGTACTGTTTCTCGCCGCGCAGGTGCCGCCGCAACGAGTCCTCCCGCCCGAACCTTTTCTCGCACCGCGGACACTGGAGCCGCTTCTCCTTGTGTCGCAGCTGGTGTCGCCGGATGTCCTTCATCGAGTCTGATGTCCATGGACAACCGGGATGTGCACACTTGAACCGGCCATCCATCTTGACGGGCCGTCCGTGCTCAATGAGTGTGCCCTGCGATGGTAGTCAGCGACACTTGTACGAGTAAGATCCAACTGGATTACTCACATGACGCTCCTTGAACTTGATCCTCCTTCGCGTCATCAACTGCATGAACACCCATCGTCAACAGAACGCACTCAAGAATTAAAAAAGAGAACTCCACGCACCGGAGGCTCGTCCTCACCATCGAGCAGCTCCGTGCTGCCCTCCGGCTCCGGATACGTAGCCATCTCAAAGTTAGACCGCACAAAGATGCTTTCAGCCTCCGCATGCATGTGTTGCGGTGCATACAGCACATGAGGATCCAGCGGAGGCACAAACGCCGGAATTGCTGGCGGTCGCTCATGGCGGGGAGGATACGGCGGAGGGGTATATCGGTACGCAGGAGGCATGGGCTGCTCGTCCAAGCGTCAGTCAAGCTCTGATCGCACCGCCAGGGCACAAGCACCTACCATATCGCGCGTTCGTACCGCAGACATCCCAGGCTCCTGCTCCATCTCGGCCTCGCTATCGATGCCCGAGTCCGCCTCTGCAACGGAAGCCGGTGCCCGAGGAGGACCCGCAGGTGAATACGACGGATGCGATGGCGGGATCCGCGTGCCTCGGTCCTTGCCTAACGCGACCAGCGCTTCCGCGACATCCTCGGACACGTCGCGACTGTCGCATTCCATGCCGTCGGGCTCCGACATTGCGTCCGAGCAGTCGTTGTCGACGTCGGCACCCTCACCCTCGCCTTCAAGCCCGCCGTCCACCACCTCCTCCTCGTCCAGTTCGGACGGCGTCAGCGGTGATGGTGAACGCGAATACTGCGGCTCGCTCGACGACGCTGCTGGAAGTGTACTCGCGCTTGTACTCGCGCTGGTGGCCGGAGTTGCGCTCGAACTGATGGGCGTGTGCGACCGTGGCCGCTGCAAGATCTTGTCGATCTCATTCTCGAACCGCCAATTTTCGGGTCCGGCGGGCGAGATGGTCTGCGAAGTGCAATGTCAGCGGTCGTTCTAATGCGATTGGCCCGATGAAGCGGAAATTAGACAGAACACAAACGTAGTCGTTTCGAAGAGTGAGAAAAACAGTCCGCTCAATTGAATCAGTCGTAAATGTCAAGGGTTCCTGGTGACGCAAGCACGGAGGCGGAGCTACCATTCTGCTGGGATGCAAATATGAAGGAAGCTGAGAAGACATTGCGGCTAGTGGCTTCGAAAAGCGCATATCGCCGGGATGGCCGTCTTATATAGCCCGAACCCACGGCCATGCAACAGATTGTGCGTCAAAGGGCCACCGTGGAGGCTTTGGCCTCGAACAAAGCATAATGGTGTCAAGATCTGACATGTATGCAGCTACATGAGGAGCCGCTGCTCCTCCACGTTCTATGACCCCTTAACAACGGTAGATATATCCCCGCACTGATTCGGTGTTTCAACCCATACCCCGCGCTAAGGATATTTAAATGTCCTCTCCACTAGCTGGGAGTCAAGTGGTCAAGCGTGCCATCGGCACACCGAACAGCACGGTTGCATGCTTCCTGCCGCGCCTATGTTTGAGAGCCACAACAAAGGGTGGCCTAAAACTGATTTGAGTAGCGATCTCGACGCAGCGGCGCCGCAAATTAGTCTCTCATCGCCGCTATGAGACAGCGTGCCAACCTTGTGCGGACGAGTAGAACACCGCGCAGTCTTCGCTGTGGCTTTTCTTTGTCCGCAAATTGTGATGTATGGGAATCAATGCCGCACGGCGACACGGGCGCCGGGACGTAGGGCACTCTGGCCACAATGCCACGAGGTCCGGAACATCCTGTGGTACGCTCGGCAATTTCCGATGCCTGGGGCCACCGGACAGGCCACACCGTATTGACATTGTGGCGCACGTAGCCGGATGCGCTGATTGCTTGCGGGCAATGCATGCGCAGTAACCAAGGACATTCATGGATATGTGGGATGGCTGTACGGATCCCAGCACCAAGCGTCTGCCGCGTAATTGACTCGAACGTCGCGAGCATGCGTGCGCCACGGTACGGCCCATGGCAGTAACTGCGCATAAACAAACGCAACGACAGCGGCCGAGACGATGTCGTTGGGCAGCCACATTCTGCCTGGCTGTGTCAGACAACACGCCTGGTGGCCGGGCGACTGGAAAGGCGGTACACGGACGTTCCAACACATCAAAAGGGAGCACGACGCGGTACTCACCAGCTTGGAGTGCAGCACTGGTCGCTGGCAGAATATGGAGATGGAGCCAAATGCGGGCGGACGCATCGCGGCGTACATGCGCAGGTCCTCTGCGCTCTTCGCCGTCGCTCTCATGTCGCTGTGGCCAGATCGACCGGATCTATGGGCGGGGTGGTCGAGCTGTAGCAGCGGGCTGCGTGGTGGCGGGTGTGGGGATTAGCTGGGAGTGCGAGGACGAGGGGAGCGTCCACTCGCCTGAAACTCTGGTGCATCGGGCGAGGGTGCGAGATGGGAGTTGGCGTTGAAGGGGGGCCCTGTGGCCCAGCTGATACCAAAATGATAGAATGATCAACCGGTGTGGCCAAGCGCCGGCGTCACATGGCAGGGCCACCACTGCGGCCAGCCTCATGGGGGCCGTGTGGCGTGCCCATCACTTTTCGGACCCATGCGAATCAGGCCAGCGTGCGCGGAGGAGATGGTGGTACTTGTGACGCGCCAAACGTAATGATACCACGCCATTTGATAACCGTCAGTCCAAGTATGTACAACGATTGCGCATTACTTCAAACAGAATCCTCGTCAAGTCGACTACTCATAGTACATAGTAAATATCTTACCCTCCCGGACGGATATAATCACCGCGCCTTGCGACTCGTCAATGTTGATCGTCTCCACCTCGTCCAGGTCCAGCTCGTCCGGTATCTCAAGTGTCCTTACGACACCTTCCAATTCCTTTTCCGACTTCTTCTCCCATGCACCGCCAGCCGTAAGCGACCCATCACGGTCCGTCGCGATAGGCGGGAAGGACACGAAGCGCAGGCGCTTCGCGTCATCCACCTCATCTCCGTCGACGTATTCGATCCACACGGCGTGACCAAAGTCCACGGCCATCAGCGGCCGCGCGCGCTCCGCCTGCCCGCTTCCATCCTCCGCATCATCCTCGATCTCGTCCAGCACGCACACAACTTCGAACGGCTGCCTCACGTACCATAGTTTCATCCAGTCCGGATCATCGTGCCGCCCGCTGTCAGCGTTATCACTGGCTGTGTCATCACTCAATGTCGACGAGGAGCCGCTCTCTAGAGAACGGCTCCGACGCGGGACACCATCGCGGCTGCTCTGCACCTCTTCGCGAGACCTCCCAGCATAAGCATCATATAGCGGGACCTTGAAGTAGTGCTGCGCAAGCACGTATCGCGTTCGGTGCGACTCTGTATCGTGGTATGCGAGCAACACAACTGTGCAACTGAGTCGGGGGATAGAGGAAAGCGTTGGCCACCACTGTCGAACAAAGTGTGCACTCTCGGGGTACCATTCAGAGTAGGGAAACGGGTTAGGGTTTTGCGAGGAGGTACCAGATGTATGTGGACGGGTGTTGTCGACGGCTTGAACCACCTGTGTCTCTTCGCCGTTTTCTGCTGCCGCCTCGGATAGAGAAGAATCGAGTGGCTGGGCGGGGAAAATGAAGCCGGAGGTCATGGACACGTGAGGACTCAACCGGGTTGATATCGAAGGGACAGAGAAGGGATCCGTGGGCAGAGCTCTGCAGTACTGCCGGAGGACTGAGATGGGATAGAAATATTGGTGGGCATGGTCGCTGTCCTCCGAGTGGATGACGATGTCCTGGTTGTACAGAATGCATGACCAGTTTGACAATACGGACTGCTGCTAGGTCAGACGTGGCAGCCATAGTAAATGTTCAACCTCTACTCACATATTCGATACCAGTGTCGATGAAGACGTATTCCTTCTTCTCCCAATCAAGCAACGCATACAGTCCAATAGTGTTTGATGACGACATCCAAACGAACGCAGACAGCAGCCTCGTGGGCGGATCGAGCAGGAAGACGTTCATGACCACCCCGATCGTCTTGAACATGGCAAGCCTCGAAAACTCAGGCGTCGGAAGCTCCTCCGCATCTCCTCCGCCATCCGCCTCGGGAAACTTAAGCTGCATCAGCACGAACTCCATCAACCGGTCGTCGTACCTAAGACGCAGCAATCCATCAGCCACACAACCCACGCACACACTACAATCCCATCGCTCACGGTCTGCGCAGCACCTTAGCCATCGTAAAGAACACCGTGCGCACATCAAACTCGACGCGGCACTTCCACAGCTCCCAGCGCTCATGCGGGTCCCACTCCGCCAGACACACGTCGCGCTGCACGTCCCAGCAAACAACCTTGCCCGTCTTCGTCGCACACAGGCTGTAGCTCGACGTAATCGGCGAGAGCCAGTCGACCTCCTCGCCGGGCGGCGCGCGGATGACGCGGTACCAACTACGCTCCCAGTCGTCGGGCGGAACCGCGTACGGGTTCGCATACGCCTGGTGTGCCGCCGTCGACGCCCGCGACGGCCTCGGCGCGCGAGTCTGCCATGCCTGCTCGAGCCGGATCGCCTTCGTCACCGCGCACACGAGCTGCTCCGTCGTGAGGTCTGAGAGTCGCTGGAAACCTGATAGCGGCAGTGGTCGGCAGCGCTGGAGCAGCGACACGGCCAGGTTGCGGTACACGGGCCTGCTGTTGGCGAAGTCGTGCAGCGCCTTGCAGGTCTGAAGGGAAGGCGGCGGTCGGGACGTGGCAATGAACTACGTAGTAGGCGATAGCGGACTCACAAGCTGTACTGCGTAGATCTCCCGAAAGTCCAAATACTGAGCGATGTTGAGCAACAAGTCATATGGAAGTGAATGCAGCCCCGTTCCGTTCCTGGAGTCGGCTTGCTTGCGAGCGAGGACGGGAGTAGAAGCTACAGGCTGGGGTTCACTCAAAGACGGCATGATGATGAGATGCGCAGTAGTCGATTAGGATGTGATGACCTTCTGTCACGACCCAAAGGGCTCAAGGATTCAATGGGATGGTGAGAGGCAGGTGCGTCGAACAAGACCTCGTGAGTGCGTAAATTTGAGGGCGAGAGAAGGAGGCAAAATGGGAAGTCTCGCACTAGAAGAAGATGCGCACGTGATGACCCCAGTATAGCGTTTTCACTGGAAAGTAAAATGAGTACCGATTCCCAAGTACTGCGCCTTTCCCAACTTCATTCACCTTGATGGGAGGGCAAACGACTCTCCTGCAACGGGAATTGGTACGTGTAGATGAGCTCGGAGGAGTCCGTCCATCCCCACGTTGGCGCCACGCCGCAACTTCACACCGAGGAATTATGACGACTTGCTATTAGTTTGCGTTCCGTGAGTACTGCCGCCATCAGCTAGACTATCGGACTCATCAACGTTCAACGCAGCCAAAAACGTTTGACACATGTCGATTAAATAGCAGTCATGATATGTACATTGGCACCAAGCAAGCATTGTCCACCAGATGAATGGCAGAAACGGCAGTCATTCTGTCTACGCAGATTTGTTGAAAATTCGCACGCAGTGTTCTATATCTCTTCACACACATCACCACCAGCTTACCACACGCGCGTCTCAAGCAACAGGTCGCTAGAACCCTCAAGGCCAATGCACGCCTTGAGGAACGCCTCGAGCGCATTGCGCTGCCTGTTCAGGCTATTGACGACGTCCGTGCCTGAGAGGAAAAACATAAATATCAGCATCAGCACAGACTGGTCATAAAGGTTCGGACGTACCAGGCTTGACGAGCGGGGCCTTGAGCATGTACGACAACAGCGAGAGGATCGGATACAGCGGCGTGAATTCGGCTTTGGCAGTGACATCGCGGTACCTAACGCGCGTCAGTAGCTCCGTGAGGATCGTCAGGTCGAGGATGAGGGGCGTCGCCAGGAGCGAATCCTAACGACGAGCAAGCATCAGCAAACAACTCCTCAGAATCGCAACCACGCAACGTACCTCGCACTCGTTGAAGATGTTAATCGTCGAGCGACCGCCACAGAAGATCTCAGAGTAGTACTCGTCGATCGCGCGCTTCGAGTCCCCGACCGCAGGCACATACTTGATGACAACGATGTGGTCCGGATGCTCTCCCTTGGCCGCCTTTGTGCCCTTCGCTGCACCCTCTTCAGGACGCTTGAACAGCAACGCGTTCGCGTGGACCATGTCATCGACGACGCTGCTCTTGCTGATCTCCTTGCTCTTGAACTGCGGCTCAGCAGACAAGTTGTGCCCGTCGTTGTTCCCGAGATGGTTGTACGACGCGATCGAGAGCGGCTTGATGCCCGCGTTCACGAGGAACTCGGCCAAGACCGACTTGAGCTTCGTCTGGCCCGACTTGAGGTCGTCGCCGCCGATGAACGACTTTTCGCGTTCCGCGAGCTCGATCACGCCCGGGACGAACGTGTTCTGCGGTGCGCCATTCACGAACGGCTCGCCCTCCAGGATCGCCGCGACGGCGAACAGCGTCGACGGCGACACCTCCGGGTGCGAGTGCTTGATCGCCGCGAGGAGGTGGTCCGCGGTGTCGTTCACGCCGGGGATGATGTCGCTGTAGCGCTCCGTGTTCGCCGTCCAAAACACGATGACGCGGTCGAGCGCGTTCTGCTCCTTGAAGCGCCGGATGTCCGCCCGAATGTGCTCGAGGTGGGCTTGCTTGTCCGTGCCGGGCAGGACGTTGTCCGCGCGCGCCTCCTGGTTCGCGGCGATGAAGTCGGGGTAGTAGATCGACGGGAGCGGCTTGCCGAGCGCAGCCATGTGCGGCACGACCTGGCGTTGGAGGTCCCAGTCGAGCACCTGGGCGCGCTTCATGGCCTCGTCCAGGCGTGCGCCGGAGATGTCCCAGCCGCCGAGGACGAGGTCGTTCGGATGCACCATCGGCAGGACGTCGGAGACGGGGACGTGAATGTCCTTGCCGGTGGCGGGGTCCATGCCCAAGCGGAATGTAGAGGCGCGGAGGAGGGAACCGATATAGTTGGGCTGCTGGATGCCGGATTTGGTGTGCCAGACGATGTTGTGGCGGTTAGCGAGGATCGTAGCGGACAGGGTGGAGCCGTTGTTTCCGCCCCAGCCGATCATCATCAATCTGCATCCAGGAAACGCGTAAGCAGCAGTTCACACAACATTCAAGCAATACAGTAGAATAAAGACAGGAGTACAACACGACTGGACGCGGAGAGACCAAAAGACGACGTGAACTGTTGAGGGACAAATGTACTCACCCAGTCTTGGAGACCTTTCTCGCAGTCTGGAACTCATACTCCTTCACAGTAGGAGTGACCGTGTATTGTCCATCCTTGACAGCGACCTGAGCGTCACGATTGATGAACTTGGACGTGATGTACTGGTCGCTGTAGGAGGTCTGCTCGGACTGCACTATGATGGGGTAGGGACGGCGAGCGGCGGTTGGGTGTATGGGGAGGACCGACTCGAGCTCAGACTCGGGCGTGTTCAAGCCGGAAGAGTTCGTAGCGGGTGCCATCTTGTTTCGATGAGGTTTAGTTTACTGAATATGACAGGGTGAAAAAACTGGTTTTAATGGTGATATAGTCCGTCGCCGCAGGTGTGCTTGGTGCCTCTATGGGGGTTGTGGGGGCTCCCTAACTGGTTAGAGAACATGCAAGATAGCCTGTAAAAGACCGGGGAGCAGGTGGTCGACGTTGACCGGCGATGTGTATCGAGTTGGGGGACGAAAGACAAGATACGTGGCTTTATATGCACCCAGGAGGGGGTCCTCGTGCGTGGTAATAGAAGCGGAAGAAAAGCAACCGGAACAGCAACGGGCGGGTTGGACCGACATTTTACGCGTTTCAGGGTCATCGATAGCGAAATTTAGGATGACGTTTACGTCGGGCGGGGCAGGAACATCCAGCGGGTCACTCGACAAGTACAGCAACGATGTTCATTTTTATGTACTATACGCTTAACGAAAGGGAAATACCCTTGAAGACAGCACGGCTCATAGACACAATCACAGGCAGCTTAACGGATGCCGACGAAGTAAGCGAATAAGCGAATACAGACTCCTCTCACATTTGCACGCGTTCGATGGGCGCAAACAGCCATATATAAGTCCCCTCGATAGCTTCCCGACGGAAAAATGCATCTGAAGAGTCGGCGGCAAAATGAAGGTGCCCTTTTTTTAGACGACCCAATGAACAAGCTCAATGGAGAGACGGAAAGAGCGCGCCTTACGATTCAAGGCGTCACCGAAACTCTCACCACGGATCCATGAGGCGTGAGGCGCAATGGGCGACAATGCTGTCATCACCGGATATAATCAACGACCCGCCTTATATTCAGTTCAGCGAATCGACAAGGCAATGCTTAGGCGCGAGCGCTGAGCGCTGAGCACCGGCGGCCGCGAAGGTGTTGCGTTGCATAATCACATCGTCGGCTGTCTCGTTTGCGTATGCTTTAGAAAGTAAGACTAACATGACTGAACGCGAGGTTTCTGTACGCACGAAGTTCATGACAAGGTCGCGCTGCACGGTTGCTGTTGGAGCAGCAGCTCCAAGCGTGTAGGATTGAAAACCCCGTCCGGATCAAACCTTGAATTCGATGAGAGCAAGGGTGAGAGAGTTGCAAATCCAATTACCGCACAAGTAGAATCTATGCAACAAGTGCGGAGGTGAACGCGCGCTTTCGCCAAAGGACGGAGGATCAAGAATGATAACCCAATTAGGGTTATCAGGCGAAATCCTTTCCTTCTCGTCCCTATTGGGCTCTGCATCTTCTCTGTGCATACCTCTCACAAAATGCTGGCTGCCCGGCTCGCCAGGTCTGTCTCTAGAAGGCGCGTGGCTACGCATTCCATCCGCTACCTGGCCACCAGCCCCCTTCCACCACCTCCACCATCTTCTCCGCCGAAAAACCCGCCTCTCAAAGATGTTCCTCCTCCGCCCCCGCCTTCGAAGCCTCAGCAGCCTCTGTCTCCTTCATCGCTACCAAGCCTAGACTTCTCGCCCGAGGTGGAGGGAGAGCGGCAGCGCGAGCAGACGGGTGCGCGCTCATCAAAGGGTTCATTATCGAGCTCAGAACGACGGAGGCGCAATATGGTTAGGGCCGCGATGGGCGTGCTGCTGGTTGGCGCAGCTGTAGAAGCGTGGGTGATGGGGAATGATTGGGAGGAGGAAGAGTTGAAGGCGAAAAAGATTGTACGTGTAGCGTCGTCGATCGGAGGCCCAGCTAAGTTTATACGCGTATGCGGGCTAGAAACGCGAGGATGTGCCTACAACACGATGGGGTCGCACGAAGGCAAGGTTCACGAGCCTGTTTGATGTGAGCCTGCATATCCTGTGTCATTTGTCTCTCACCGACTGGCGTCCAGTTCTTCACTGAGCCGTTGTGGCCAGAGTTACTCCCTCCTCCACATCCTGCTATTCCTCAAAAGCCATACACGCTGCTTGTGTCTGTCGACGATCTCCTCGTAACGTCTACGTGGGATGTACGTCGTGCGCACATGCGTCTTTCCGCTCTAAGCTGATCCCTTTTGATTGTAGCGACAACACGGCTGGCGGACTGCAAAACGACCCGGAGTGGACTACTTCCTTGGCTATCTATCGCAATTTTTCGAGATCGTCATATTTACAACGCAATATAATTATGTAGGCTCTTTCATCCAGTCAGTGTCTCGCGGAACTTGCTGATGCACAGTGCAGACTGCCGCTCCAATAGTAGACAAGTTAGACCCCTATCAATTCTTCGTCTCATACAGGCTCTACCGAGACGCATGTCGATCGGTCAAGGGCACTCCTGTTAAGGTGATCATATGCATGACCGCTAGCACGCGTCGTACAATTGCTGAATTTCTGCCAGGATCTCACATATCTGAACCGAGATCTGTCCAAGGTTGTCGTGCTTGACGTCCACCCCGAGCACGTCTCCGCGCAGCCCGATAATGCGATCATCCTGCCCAAGTGGACGGGCGATCCGAAGGATAGGGGGCTGGTCGCGATGATTCCGTTCCTTGAATGTGCGCCGTCTCTGTCCCTCTTTTCTACTTCACATTTTAACCGTCATCGTCATAGCGATCGGCATCTTCAAGCCAGCGGATGTGCGGCCGATCCTGGAGGCATATCGAGGGAAGGACATCCCGATCGAGTACGCGAAGAAAGAGGCAGAGATGAAGCGCAAGCATGTCGAGGACTGGGAGCACAAGAAGCGAGGCCTCTCGACAGAAACCTTCACTCTCAGCGGGCTATTTGGCGGATCGAGCCGGGTACGCCGTCCACTCTCTCCGTCTTCCCTTGCATTCTGGAGCTAACAACTCTCACTTCAGGCGAACGCATCCCCGATCCCGCCCACATACCTCGAACTGAAGCGTCGTGAGGCGCAATTGCAGTACAAGGAAGAGCAGGCGTACATCGAGGCGAACAAGGAGACGTTCGAGCGGCTCATCAAGGAGGACCAGGAGGCGCAGATGCGCCAGATGTCCGGCAGCACGATATGGAGCGCGGCACAGACGATGTTCGGCCTGCCTCCGCCGCAGGAGGAGGGCGACGCGGGTAAGGGGCCTGAAGTACCTGCTTCGAGCGGCAGCACGTAGAGCAGATGCATCACTGTATTTGGTGTAGCTGCTATGCAGCTGTGTCGATGGTATCCCCTACTCAATGTCGCGGCATGTGCCTGAACTCGGCTGGCACTCCCTTAGCCGGCTATGACACGGACGTGTTGCTTTTTCGCGATGTCGTTGTACCGTTGACGGCATACTGTTGCTGACACGATCCCGAGACTTGCTGACGTCGAAGAAACGACGCCTGGCGTCGACTGAGCACAATGTACCATCCGCACAGGCGTACATTGATGTAGCGAGAGCTTTGTTCTTACAGCCTTTATGTTCCGGCCTCTTGTAAAGGAAAGAGGAACCTAGCTTCCTAGACTGACGCTGTGTTGCAAGCTGCGCCGGACTCTGACGTGTTCCAATGTCCATCCTTCTCGTGGACAAAGTAGGCTGCTGCACTAGGCAAAGGAGAGGAAAACAGGATGTGTATGTGAGCCGCTCTAGGGAGCTGTCCCCACTCTAACGCATTTGGTCGGGATTCATGCTTCATTTGCGAATGCGAGTAGCCCGAGTGAGCATCCGGTACGATGAAGCTTATGCTCATAAAATGGCAGAGACACGAGCAGCCCACCGCATGCAGCCTCTGGAGGGTCTAGGACCTTCGCCTGCTATGGACCGCTACATACTGCTACAGACATGATACGGAGCTACGGAGTGCTACAGACAACCACAGAGAGCTACGGCAGAATTTCGCTTACTCGAAGCCCTCTGATGTTCTCGCGACCGGCAGCTGCGTTTCGTACAGGCTTTGCGTGCCGAATCTTCTTCGCTGGCGGATCAGAATCCTCTGTATGATCTTCAACGACTTCTGTTCGGCGTTGCCAAGCATCATCAAAGCTACTTTTGGGCATCCTTAGAGGGGGCAGCGAGTCCGGTGGGACTAGAGAGGCTGGCGAGGCCGGCGAGGCTGCTGACGAGGCTGACGAGGCCCGTGAGAGTGGCGGAGCCGGTGAGAGTGGCGAAGGCGGCGCGCCCCATTCACGTAGCTGCGGGCGATCTCTTGGGTCATTCGCCTTCAGCTCCTCCGCAAAAATCCTCAAGGATTCGTCACTTCCCTTGAGTCTGTCAAACAGATGCAGGATAACACATCCACATGACCAGCAGTCAGCCTTGATAGGATCGTACTCCAACCCCTTCTCGACCTCGGGGGCAATCCAGCCCGCCGTCCCGCAATAGCCGGTCACCTTCTCCCCTTCATAACGTAGACGAACCGCGACGTCGAAGTCGATGATCTTCAAGCAGAAATATCGGTCGACAAGAAGGTTGGCGGGCTTGATGTCTCTGTGCGCGAAGAGATTTTCGTGAAGATACGTAAGGCCCTCGATGAGGCCCAAACAGATTTCAACAACGTTGCCGCGAAGTTCGTCAGGAGCGAGTGCGAGATAATCCGCAAGGGAATTCGGTACTTTAGGAAGAATGGCCCATGCGCCTGCCTGGCCAGGGAACGAATCGAGCAAGGAGATGACGTGGTTAGACGCCGGTGAGAGGCGACGAATATCTGCGAGGATCTGAAGCTCGTTCGACCCCTCATCGACTTCCTTTGCAATGAATTCAGTACTCGGATCTGATGGTCGATACACAGTAAGAATATGAGACGGCATCTGACGATTAGGCGTCAGCCCAGCATATTATTGTAGCCAAGGGTTGACATACCTTGAAAAGCGGCTCCAATGCACCGCCGCTTGCATCCCAAATGACTTCCGGCTTGATCTCGTAGCCGTGCGCTCTCAGTTCTGCAGCCGCCGCCGCCGTATTTGCACCGCCGCCGCCGCCGCCGCCAGCGACATTGCTGTTACCGTTGTCTGGCTCATGTTTCCTCTTGGTTCCCCTTGTATGAACCGACTTCAGAGCAAACTTCTTGGCTTGCGTTTCGATCTTAAGTTTGAGCAGTTCAGTGTTCTCTCGCGTGTCTTCCTCTTCTTCCACACTACCATGGAGCATATGAATGTGGTTGTACAACTGACGTGCAAAGTCGACACGGCCAATTGGTGTAGTCAACTCGAAACGCCTCTCTCTCCAGTAGACCTGCGATGGCTCAGCCTGAGACCTTATGCATTATGAAAAGACATACCATCCTGTCATTCGGCCGTTGGAAAAGAGTGTAGCGTGATGCTTCACCACTGCCCCGAAGAAAATTGATAACAAGGACAAAATTTTTCGTCAGCTTGAATGCGTTCAGGAATGCGTTTGCGAAGCGGACGAAGGCAGCACCGGTCAGAAACATCCGCGCCTTATCCACTGGCCAATCAGTTCCCAGTCCGGTCGAATCAACCTCTGTAAGCTGTCGAGGTAATTTCGACTTCATGATGAGGAAATCGCTGAAAGGCTTATACGTGCGATATCTTTCTTTCACGTCTAAACCTTTGCCACCTGCAATTTCCAGGATAAGAGTGATTTGCGACTTGTTTCTATAGGGACGACAGTCATGATTGAACGCAAGTGATCAAGGCCGCACATACCTTACAGGTGTAATCCGTCCTTGTGGAATATGAAGCATGAGCCTCAGAAAGAAGATGGCATGCGCTATATCTCCCTTCAAAGCAAGAGGTCTCTTCCAAAACATTTCCCAATTTTCGGATGCAATGTCCGCGATATGCATCAGCTCGAGTCGGTCGGCTTGGCGCCATGGTTGTGTCCGATTGTTATGATGTTCATCCTCAGCCTCAGCGGTCTCCTCACCACCGGCGGCCGGCGCCCCGGATTGCTCCTCCGCAGCGTTCGAGTTTGTAAGAGACCCGAAATACGCAGCTTGGTATTGATCACCGAGTATAACCTTGAACGCCTCAAGCATCTACATCGACTTCAGATTGAAAGACAGGTGGACGATTCAAGGAAATCACGCACATCAGGGGCCACACCTGGGTTGCTATCCAACTTCTCTTCAAACTCCGCAACAAATCTTGGAACTGGGATTTCTGTGTTCGCTTTTATCTCATTCTGGGCCACGTCTATTTCCGTGTAATCGCCCCACTTTTGTACTTGGATAATGATATCTCGGTATAATTTCACAACTTCTGGGTCCTCAACAGGCGTCCCTGCGTCATGTTGAGGCCCCGTTATAGCTGTGGGAAACATGATAAGATATCAGGATGTTTGAGAACAATTCCAGGGAGAGTGGCAGCAGACACCACCGAAGATACGACGACGCGAGGTCATCTGGATGGTGGCTCACCTGGAGGACGTGCCACGAGCACAAGATGAACCAACTTCTCCTGTGGGTTCAGTATAGAAGAGATCGAGCTGACTTCATCCAATGGGGAAGTGGGGTCTGAACCCTCCACACTCGTCTTCACACGATCGACCAGGGTATTATTTGGAGCAGCGTTCAGTTCGGGAGGCTAATGCTCGGTCAGAGTGGCACCGTTGCGACGATGAGAGGGCAACTCACAGTGTACATGTCTATATCGCTGGGGACCATGTTGTGACGGTCCCACAGATGCTCCTGCTCACAGATCTTGCGACAGACTTCCGCAAAATCCAACGAGTCTTCGACGCGAATCGTGCAGACGCTACTGACGGTACCGTCTCGGAAAATGATCACGTAGCACAGCTTGAGTTCAGACATAGTTGAGGACTGAGGCGACTGGTGGTGTATAGACCTTTCAGTGACGGGCTCAGCGATGAAGTTGTAAAGCAGGAGGCGGGGAGCGATGTTTGTATCTGTATGCGTGTTGGGTGCATGGCCGTGGTGCCACAAGGTGCCACATGTACATCGAGGACTAGGAGACGCAGCTGATCATGAAGTATCGAGGAGAAGCCCTGATATTAACTACAACGCAAGGTCAGACGAAAGGTTCTGTAGATGCAGATTGAGAGATTGAGACTAGATGAACCGAATAGGACTACTTCAAATCCCTCGAAGAAGACTACTTCGAATCCCTCGCAGAAGTACAGAGCATCTCTGTATCCTGCGCGCGTTCACGACCGACTGTTCTTTGCCTAGTCTTTACAGGGAGGCGTGATTCTCGTGCAGATTAGAAAGAAAAATACTGAAACCAGTACCGTCGGACTTGCTGACGACAGAATGCTGCGAATACGGTGGGATGCTGCCTGCTACCTCAGTCCTTACTGCCGCAAGACTCTGCCGCAAGACTCTCTTCGGACTACGACAATACTTATGATTGCGTTCGTGTCCTGTCTGCCTCTCTTGCGCACTGCTTAGGCCCGAAGTACTCGTTTACAAGCAGCACATATCTGCCATTTCCGTCTGCGACGCTCGCCTCGTTAGCTGCTCAATCTTTTATCGCGTCGCCTTGGTCTCTGAGCAAAGGACACATCCAAGACGGTGGTTCTGACATCGCCTTTATCGCGGACCCGTTCGCGAACTCGTCTGGGTCTACTTCACCTATAGCTGCCTCCAGTCATCGGTCCTGCAGGCCACATACTCCTCTGGCAGCTACTCTCACGACATCGATGGTGCACAGTTCTACACGCTTTGGAACTCCGTGACTCAAACGCGTCCGGCACCTACTTCCACTCCATGCTGCTCACCTATGAGGTCGCCTTCGACACCTACTTCAACTGGGTCAAGGGAGGCAAGCTTCCCGCCGCAAGATTTAATTTATTCCTTACAGTGCGTACTGGGTCTGCAACAGAACTCAGCTTCTCATCGCCCAACCTACACTTCCTCCGAGATGGTATAAACGTCCATTGACGGGGTAATGCACTGAAGCGGGAAACATCCACTGCCTGAAAGATTCGAAGGCCGATTACGAACGAAGGAGAAACGATTTTCAACACATATACGCAAGAAGCGAGGACCAGCATTCATGAATCTTCCAGAACATCGCGGACGACTTCGAGCTCCAGTCCATCTTGCGACCTCGACTTCGTCCATTGTCGCTGCAACGAAGAGGAATATCAGTGGCTGCACAATCAATTAACGCACGGCGGCAACGCTCACGGTATACACCACTCTACCGATACCGATGATCCTCAGGCGCGAGCCCTTCCGCAGCATCATGTTCTTGGCGTGTTCAATCTCGAAGGGTATCGTGATCTCTTCTGTGCCATACCGTGTGGGCACCCAGGTTGTGTACAATCGCAGCTGCCGGAGATTATGGCCGTTGGTAGTGGCATCTTCGATTTGGCGCTGTACCACACACGAAGTTTAGTACGCAATGGCAGCAAGCATAACTGAAAGTGCGAGAGCGTACGGGATCATGACATAGAGCAACCGAGCAAGAAAGTGACTCCAGACCCGGGAATAATGTGCACAGGCACTCGATGTCCTCCAGCGTCAGCGATGCCGAGTCCGCGTTGAAATGCTTGAGAGTGTCCCTGTGCGTGTGTGCCAGATCCAAGAGGAAGTGCCGCGGCATGGTCGCATCACCGGCAGTCGAAAATGCGTTGAGCGTGAACGACACGAGCGAGGGGCGCGGGAGTAGCTGCTTGATCCACGTCCACAGGTGCTGCGGGCCCTGTACGTCAACCGAGCTCGTGCGCACTGTGAGTTCGCGCAGCGACGCAACGGGCACGTCGACGTAGCGGGATACGCCAGATCCGAAGTATTCTGTGTCCAAAAACACCAGATGCGGTAGAACCGTCAATATCTCGAGAATCGCGCTGGTTTGCGCGCCCTTGAGTCGCAGGGCCTGCATCAGTGGGAGAGATGATATCACGTGTACGAGGATCGACGCAGGCACGCCTGCGCAGCGCTGAAAACGAAAGCACACCGACGTCAGTCTCGATCTCGGTTACGCCGCCACACGAAACGCACTGACTCCGAGTTCGAGATGCGTGAGGGTTTTGCCCAGCTTCTCCGACCAGCCTTGCAGGATGCGCGGCGGACCGTCCATGACCCAGAGCGCAACCTTGTGCAGGCCTTTTAAGTGGCTGAGTTCTGCCCAGACATCCTCGCTAAGGGTGAGGTACGTGCGGATTGTAAGCTCTTTGAGGTTGTGCTGTCGAAGGATGTTAATGTACCCGAGCAGAATCTGATCGTTGTTCGCGCCGTTAGCCCTGTCGTCGCTCCAGGTGATGCCTTCGATGTTCGTGCACAGGCGTAGTGCCTCGTAACATTCCCTTAATAGCTCGGCCCCACTATAGTATATTGCACCTACGAGATTCGTCAGCATCGACCCTCCTAAACTATTTGGAGATGGTGGAAAACCCACCTGTCTCTCGTACATAGCGTACATATTTCGCATATGCTGGCTTCTGCAGGAGCGTCCGCGCAGGATGGATGATCACAGGTCGCTGACGTCCCGGGCTCAATCTGTGATACACAAGATCTATGCGGGAAATGTGCTCACTCCAAATGGTGACGGTGCCTTGATGATACGGGTATCTAGCGACCGATATAGAATTGGCGTTGCAGCTGCGTTGAAGCTCTTTGAGAGCTGCGCGCAGGTGTGAAGATCGCGTCGATCGTCCAGGTGCTCGAAGATGAGGGGCAGAATGTCGACGGGTAAGCTTCCTGCGTCGAAGAGCAACATACTTGACGGAGGCTGTGTAGGACTGCTTGCCCTTCGCTGACGTTTCATATGAGCTTGAAGAAGTAGAACGTCTTACGTGAGCAGGATTCGGGAGAGTACTATTGTAGATATACTAACTGGAGAAATCCGGAGAACGTCCTCTACTACAAAGCAGTTAACCCTCTGCCTCTTCCGTCAACATAGAGGTATAGGGTATACCTCTTTTCGAGGCGAGTGCGCCGGATCTCGGCGTTGATGATGCAACCGTGAATTCGCGCGCTCATACACGTCTGCTTGTGATTGAGTAATAGCATTATCGCGCCGCAAATGAAACCAATAAAAGACAATACATACCAAATCAAGGGTGCGGAATTGATATCCTTCTGACGCCAACCGTCGTCGACTTGACCGTGAGCTCTACTTGCTGACGAACCGTCAAGGGTAGTGCTTTTCAGCTCAAACGAGCAGTATTTGAGCAGCAAACCAAGACGTGTTGACAACTATTATCCAGTGGAATAAGTGAGGAAAATCAGCACAATTTCGTACGGAACGAATGCATCGCGTTGTGGCCGCGACCAAGCCGCGCGACGTCGCGCGGATCGCGTGACGCATCATCAAATTGACATCAATATTTGATTTGGCCACCATCAGATTCTAGCTCAGACACACCAATATCCCTCAGATGTTCTACCTCGTCGGTCTCGGCCTTTGCGATGAGAAAGACATCACTGTGCGCGGCTTGGAAGTGTGTCTATTGTCACTTGGATGTTGGAGGATATAAACTAATATCGTGTCTAGGTCGTGAAGCGGTCATCCAGGGTATACCTGGAAGCGTATACAAGTATCCTGATGGTACAGAAAGAAAGGCTTGTATGCTTTTGGAACTGCTCTTGTCGTAGACGACGCTGATCGCATCATTGAAAGGAAGCATTCTATGGGAAGGAGTTGATCCTCGCTGATCGGGATATGGTCGAGACGGAAAGTGACAAGATCCTGCGAGATGCGGACAAGGAAGATGTAGCGCTTCTCGTGGTCGGGGACCCGTTTGGGTGGGTCACATTTGTAGCTGAACTCTCTTTCCATACTGACACCGCGCATAGAGCAACCACACACACCGACATCATTCTTCGCGCTCGCTCTCTCAACATCCCAACGCGCGTGATACACAATGCGTCTATCATCAATGCCGTTGGCGCATGCGGGCTGCAGCTGTACAATTTTGGCCAGACCGTTTCTCTGGTGTTCTTCACGGAGACATGGAAGCCTGACAGCTTCTATGATCGGGTCAAGGAGAACATGGAGCACGGGTTGCACACGCTCATGTTGCTTGATATCAAAGTCAAGGAACAAAGTGAAGAAAATCTAGCCAGGTAAGCAGTAGCTCGCCCTTCTCCGTTACTGGAGAACTGATAATCCTCTATTCAGAGGAAAGAAAATATACGAGCCTCCACGCTACATGTCTATCACGCAAGCTGTCTCTCAGCTGGCAGAGATCGAGGCCGCTCGCCAAGAGGGCATCCTCCGCCTCGACGCCACGCTCGCAATCGCTCTTTCCAGAGTTGGCGGAGAAGACGAGCAGCGGATTGTCTGCGGGACACTAGCGGAGCTTCTCGACCAACCGCCGGAGGTATTTGGAGAGCCCCTACATAGCTTGGTTATCGTCGGCAAGCGCCTGCACCCACTCGAAGTGCAGTACGCAGGTGCATATGCGGTCGACCCGAAGAGTTGGCGGGACGTTGCGAGGCATGTGTATAAATGTCCTTACCCTGGTCATCGTCGACGAAAGCACTCACCGTCTTGAAACGAACACGCAGTTGACGGGCGAAGAGCTAGCGGACTGATGTCAAGCATGTATGTACGGATGTACCACCAGTACTGAATTAAGAGTCCACAAGTCGGTTGTGGCGGGGATTTGCGAAAAGAACGTATCCATGCGATTGAGGATGACCACCATCGACATAACAATGTACACCTGTATGGAGAAATTCCTACAGTGCCATTGCCTGCATGCTTCACGCATGTGTAGCCGTCGCATCCCACGCTCGGACGTTTGTATGTAAGTTCGGCCACTTGGCCACAATATTTGCCTCCGGTGATGGGTCGTCACATCTCCGTCAACATCGATATGAACCGCATGGCAATGGATGTCCACGCGAACTCCCTGGGCATGCAACTTGGGCAGGGAAGAATCCAGTGTTTCCGCGCCCTCCTCCAGCCCGCCTTCCCACGTGCAGGCTGATCCTAAGTTGCTCTTGGTTCTCGTTTCGCGCGTGCACAATGAGGAGGTCGTTGTCCCGTTATGACACGCCCCTGAAGTTCAAGAGGAATTGCGGCATGTTTCTGGCCACTTGATGTCGTGCCGTCAGGTTTCCGTTGACTCTGCAGAATGATACGTACCTGAACTAAATGAAGGCGTACCAATAATATATGGATCAAAAACGAAACAATCAGTGGACAAGCCGTACTGGCTGTGCACGTTACCCTATCAGTCTAAACCTGCTAAAGGCAAGTTGATGCTTATGTTGATAAATAGGAAGAATGTTTGGTTTGTTGACGATGGCCCTGACAGGTTGCAATACCAGGCAACTGAAGCGGTCCTCACCCGCGTGAGTATTTGTCTCATGATATACAGAACTTTCCTCTTTTGCGGCAAGTTCATGCGATTCTAAAAGGTAGAGCACATTGACGAGTACAAGCAGGCGACCGTCTAATATCGAGGTATCGAGAACCAAACTGATCAACGGCTTGAAGCTCATGGGGTCGCCCGACCAGGCCACCTACGCGCGTACATGAACACAACATTCATTTCGAAGCGCCAGGGTGAACACGTACCTGGGGTAGAGCGAGCACTCTCTGACGGTATACCGGTTGGCCAACCATGCAAGGAATCGCTGGGTAGGCAAACCGATATAAGTACATAGCGGGGGCTGGAAAGACGGCTCGTGCCTACCTCAACTCCGAGACCGTACCCGCCGTGCTCGCACGTCCCGTATTTGCGCTGGTCTGTGAACCAGTAGTACGGGGCAGGGTCGATGCCTTCGCGTTTATAGGCAGCGAGCAGCTCGTTGATGTCCGATATCCTCATGGATCCACCTGGAAGGACCGTAGTAAGCAGACAAATTTGACGGAAAAAAGTGGAGTACTACGGACCGACGATCTCTCCAACACCGGGCATCAGCAAATCACAGCTCTCCGTGCACACCGGCCCCTCGCCCTCCGTCTGCATCTTCTTCATGTAGAATGCCTTTAGCTCCGCAGGGAAGCCGTACAAGAACACAGGCACGCCTAAGATATCCGTCATACGCCGCTCCGCGGCCTCCGCAATGTCATCACCGACGGCATGATTAACCATCTTCGGGTTCCCAGCCTCGTCCTTGATAACGTTGCCCTTGGCGTCCTCCGCCTCGTGCTGGATGCCGTGGTCGTTGAGCCACTTGATCGCGTCGACATATGAGAGCCGGAGGAATGGCCGTGAGGGGGCGGTGAAGTTGGGGTTGAGCTGCTTAATGAGCACCGCGGTGGCAGGGTCGGCGAGCAGTCTTTCGACGGTGTCGCAGATCTGCATGCCAGTGATTACACATGAGAAGGGCTCATAAGCAGCAGAATGCGCACCACTCCTTCGATATGGTTCATCAAGTCATCGAAGGTAATGAATGCAAGCTCAGCCTCGAGATGAGTGTATTCGCTTAAGTGCCGGCGAGTATGGCTGTGTTAATGGTCAGCCGAGGCAAAACAGCTATAGTCACATATGCACTTACCTGTTCTCAGCACGGAAGCTCTCCTGCACGCAGAACACGTCCCCCAGGGAGGGCAAGCAGGTCTCGAGGTACAGTTGAGAACTCTGCGTAAGGAAAGCCGGCTGGCCGTAGTAGTCGAACTTGAACAGCGTCGCGCCGCCCTCAACCTGTGTCTGCACCATGCACGGCGGCGTCACCTCGAGCAGGTCGCGTGCGACGAGCGATGTGCGGAAGGAGCTGAGGAGCGCCGCACGAAGCTTGAGCACAGCAGAGGCAATCTCGCCACGGATGACGAGATGTCTAAGATCGGCCAGGATCGAAGGGTCGGATTTCTAGCAGCAACAGATATTCATCACGCAAGGTTGCGATTAGTGACGAAGAACGCACCTCGTTCAATCGGTTGGTGAACGCTTCATCACCACCAGGAGCAGCCCCGAGCACTCTCCAGTAATCGACAATCAGCTCGTGTCCGCCGGGCGCAGTCTTCCCGTCGGGCACTGGTTGCAGCGTACCCACAAGTTCGACGGTGGACTCGAGGGTGAGAGTTAGAGCCTCGTATGTGTGGGCCTTTAAGCACTCAGCAACCATTTCCATCAGGAAAGGGCTGGGAGAGGAAGACGTACCACTCGCCCAGAAAGTACGCACTGAAGATATCCGGTGCCATCGCGCAATACTATGAAGATGATTTTGTTCTGGTCTCGTAGCCGATGCACCCATCCAGAGACACGAACACGCTGGCCGCTGAGAGGCGCAAGATTGCCGATCTTAGCCTATAACCACTGTCAACCGGGCAGCCGTAGAGTATGCAATGAATGCTCACCTTAACTGCCTTCGGCAGACTAGGATCCTCCTCCAAGACTACCTTCTTACTCTCCTCAAGTAGCTTCTGCCTCCGTTCCCGCTCTTCCGACTTTTCCTTTGCTTCACGCTCTGCGAGCTCCTCGGCCTTTTTGCGCTTTTTCTCGAGCCCATCCGCGCCCTTCTTCGCTTTCTTCAAGGCCGACTGTGTGGGTTCTTCGTATGGCGCCGCTGAGTCCTTCCGCACCAAGATCGGTGTGGTCCCGTGCGTGAAAATCGCAAAGGCCAGAGTCTGATAGGGCTGCTCCTGGGTTCCCTTGCCCGTCTCGTCTGACCCAGAAGTCTCGTCCACGTAGGTCGTCGACATCGCGCCCGGAGCTGAGTAAGTGTGAGATTGTGAGATGAGTGTATGTCCCAGAGATGACTCGCGATTTCTTTAAACCGCGCGCTATCACGATGTGACTCCGAATCTACAAACTCTATAGCTTCCTACTTCACCTCACGATGTACATCATGACAAGGAGACACATTATGTTTTATTCCATACATCATAAAGATGGCAGAAAAGTCCGCGTTTGATCAATTGATGCCGAGCTACAAGAAAGGTCGAGCGATGCAGATAATTTACTGAGTCGGTCACGTGGCCGCGACTTGAGAGAGTCGCGTCTGCGGCGCAGATGCTTCGCTTTCTTTCTTTCCACCAACTCGCCTGGCCGCTTGAGTCGATGCAGCTTGCAATATTTCTCTTGTATCCGCGCTGTTATGCATAACCACAAGGAGAAAAAATGGGTCGTTGCTCAGTGCGCATACTGCTCATTTCTGTCACGTCGTTGTGGCTGAGACGTGGTTCAACGATGCTCTTTCGTTAAGCTTCATGGTAGGAAACACCTACGTAAGTGATGATCTTACGTGGATAGAGGACATGTCATTCCCGACTGTTGGTATTGATATGCCGATCTTGCAGCCGTACACTCTGGGAGACTGGATCGAGGATATCCAGCTTGCAAGTCATCATGGAATGTGAGCTGCAGGTCAATCCTAACTCCACTCCTTCCTCCAAGTTTATGGAAGTTGGATTATTTAAAGTGATGGTTTTGCTCTGAACGTTGGGAGAGAAGACTGGCAGAAGGCCCGCGTGACTGATTGCTACGAGGCCGCATTACGGGCGACGAAGCATTTCAAGCTGTTCCTCAGCTTCGACATGACGCACGTCTTGTTCAGCCTCTATAAATGATAACGCTTGACTTTCACTTTTGTTTACTGTATAGGTCGGTACCAGGGAGCACTGAAGCCGATGTTGTCCTTCTATGCGATTATGTCTCCCGATTTGCTGCGCATCCCCATCAACTGCTGTACCATGATAAAGTCTTGATATCGACCTTCGCAGGAGAGAACGCTCTCTTTGGACGAGCCAACATCGAGAGCGCATGGGCAGGGGTAAAGGCCAAACTTCAAGCTATAGCTCCTGTAAGACAATAATGTCTATCGGCATGGTCAGGAATGAAGGATCAATGCATTGGCCACAGGTGCATCTGGTACCTGCGTTTCTCATTGACCCTTCCCGTTACCCTAGCATAGCCTCTATGGACGGGTGTTTCAACGTGCGCATGTCTCGTCATTACCAATATTTCCAAGCTCATGTCGACCGGTACTAGTGGAATGGTAGTTGGCCAACTCATTTGACTCCACGATCTCCTCGAGAAGAGATTAGATGTCCAAGACTAGAGACGGACCATAATCATATCCGCCAATTGGGCGGAAGGACGTTCATGGCTGCGGTTTCGCCGTGGTTCTTCACGGTCAGTCCGTAAAGTCGGCTTTGGACCAACGTTTGATATGCTTTCCATAGCATTACGGACCTGACAGTTGGAACAAGAACGTATGTCGTTACTATTAAAGCGGGACGACGCTTATAAGCAGCGTTCTGACGTAGTGGATATATCGTGGTGATGACTGGCTGTACGTCCGCCGGTGGGAGCAGCTCGTCGCAATGCGCGACAATGTGGACATTGTGCAAATAATATCGTGGAATGGTGAGCTTCTTCCGAGATGCCTTCCGCGTCGTAAGGCTAATGCCAGCAGATTACGGCGAATCGCACTACATCGGGCCAATCAAAGGTGCACAGCCCAACTCAGAGGCATGGGTCGATGGCTTTCCGCACGACGCGTGGCTTCGCATAACCAAGTATTTCGCGGATGCGTTCAAAACAGGGCTATACCCTCCAATCGACCGAGACAGGATATTCATGTGGGCGCGTCCGCACCTGAGAGAAGCGCATGCCCCAGATCGAATACCTAGGCCAGCGAACTGGGAGTTGGTAGGTTTAATAGCAACATAATAAATGCACCTATCATGATACATATTGTTGCCTGACAGACGGAAGACGCATTCTGGGTGGTCATATTCGCTACTGTGCCGACCGTGGTAGAATTAGCCAGCTATCGTTCCGAAGCGGACGCACGGACGTTTGAAGTGCCGGCAGGTATCACTAAACTATCTCATGCTGTTGATTCAACGGGCAGCATGAGTGCTCGGATGTTCAGGGAAGGAGTCTTGGTTGCAGAATGCGTCCCAGGACGGGACGGCTTTCACTTCCAGCAGGGACCGAAGGTATACAACTTTAATGCGTACTGCGCCATGTCTTCCTAGTAGGCTGCCAAGTCTTTTCCGTTTTGCCTCTTTTACTTCGTGTGAATACGATTACGTAAGCACATCATTACGCCCATCAATTGTCTGAGCGAGCCTGGGCGCCGAGCAGGATGCTCTCGCAAGCCCTGGACTCTCGAAGGCGGGCCATGACAACGGTATGTTTGTTATTTATTGACGGTGAGCGTATAAAAAGCCAGAGCTCATCCCACGCAGTCGCAGAACCTGCGATTGGAAGGATGATGATCTCACGTTTTAGCAGAGCATTCCTCTTCATTGTCGTACTTCTCGTATGTGGCTTTTCCCCTTATGACTTTCAGCTGCATCCGTTTTATATGTTCGATGTTTTAGTTTTTCATTGGGTCTATCGCGCTGTTGCACCCGCCCTCGCGCTCCTACGTCGATCCATGGACCGGTAACCTGTTCGGCGAGGGAGGAGTCGAGAAGGACCTTCGTGTCCCGCCACCGAGCAATCCGGAGAGCGTTCACGGTGGTGTCATAATGCCGAAGCTCGGGAATGCTACTGCGAAGGCGGAGCTTGGGCGAGCGACTTGGAAGCTACTGTAAGTCCATCTTGCCCACCGTAGAGATGCATCCGCTTCAATAATGCATCCAGGCACACTATGACATTGCGATATCCTGAGGTATGTCATTAGCACGAGCGGATGTCCTCTGATGGACCCACTCGATGTCTCACAGAGTCCAACACAAGACCAGCGAGATGCACTGGATAATTACTTCCACATCTTCTCACGACTGTACCCTTGCGGCGAATGCGCGGGCGAGTTCCAGAAGCTCTTGCGCAAGTATCCTCCACAGACATCTTCACGACGCGCAGCGGCGACGTGGCTCTGCTTCGTCCACAATCAAGTGAACGCGCGCCTACACAAGCCCGAGTTCGACTGCGCCAATTTGGACGCCACGTACGACTGTGGATGTGGCGACGAGCCCGTAGGCGCATCCTCCCCGCCTGCTCGTGCCGAGAACGATCCGATGGACCTGGAGAACGACCTCAGTAAAGATGGAATCACCGGGGTGGGGATGATCAAGGGTGGATGATAGCTCGCTGCGTTCACCGCTTCTACAAGGTTCCTGGTCGGTCGCCGTGTTTCGTATATCTTTTGGGCCTTTGAGTCATTAACACACATTGTGCATTGTATATCAGTAATATATCCAGCTGGCTATCTGGCAGGTCCTGCTTGACACCGAATGGCACGGCAACGTGCAGGACATACATTACCGTCTTTCGCGATGTCTCTTTGAGCTGCCGTCATCTCATCGCCGAAGCTTTTTATGAGGCCTTTATCATCGGAGCCTCAGCCATTCCTGGATGGCAGAAGGGCAGAAGAGCAGAATCATTGATATGTGTCGTATGATGTGTACGTCTCACCTTCGGCTCCACCATATATGTGGCCCTGTCAATAGTCGTGCACTCGGAAATGCTCGCTTTGTTGCGCGGCAGGTTGTTCCTGGACAATGCGACGGCTCACCACATTGAAACTTATGGCAAACGCTCCTGCGTACAAGATCACCCGCATTCGAACAGCCATACAACACCGGGTTCGTCACAGAAATGCCGGGAGGACTGTGCTCTCATTATGCTACAGCAACAGCTCAAAATTAACACTAAGCTTTCTCGATTTCCACCTCACTGAGCTCACCACCCGTGCGGCTGCTTGCCGTTGTCCATAATCTCCTCTCTGCTACCTGCTCCCGGCTACATTGTACTGCACATATCGTTTGCGGCCTCTTCCAGAAGGGTCGTCCTGGGATAGATTGCCTATGTGTATGTCGTTCGACTCCGATGGCCCGTGTAGTTATGGGGAAAATGCCATCGGATATACGATGTAGGTCTGTGTCCACCTGCGCGTTCGACATGCTTGCGTTCATATGCGGTGTGTAGTCCTCCTCAACGCAGGGCTCTCGGATGGGATAAACGATGTCCAGGAAAGAATTTTCGTACCTGCACCCTTTGTTGCGGTATAACTATGAGAGCGATCAGGCTCAAAGCGAGATCCATTGCATTACAAGAACGTACAAATCTGAACTGCTATTGCAACAAGCAGAAGAGGTAGGCCAGCGTTGTGCTCAAAATCACTGCGCAAAGGACCCTTGTCGACTTGTGTTCGTGACTATGTTCATCTTCGATCGGCACCGCAGGCGATACCGTGGTTGTCTAGAAACTTGGATACATGAGGAAACGTGGAGAGCCTTAGGCCTTCTCCCTCTGCTCTGCTGAATCGACGTTCACGTTGCCGGGGAGTGCCATATTTGTTGATCCATTGCCAGCTAGATTATTCAAACCCTTCGACTCCACCCTATGTCGGGCAGAAGGACTAAATTCCGACTTGGAGCAGACAAACGGCCTCCCTGTCCTCACTAAGAATCGGCGATGTCACTACGCGGACCTTTCTATACATGTCATATTGTACAGTGATGAAAGGGACTCGGTCTAATAGTGCTTACAATTCATAGCGTGAATATCAAGCCGTGTTCAATCCGAATGCCTCCGCGACCAGCTTAGCAGCCCTCGGCGACGAACCCTCTGCCCGTGGCGATCTAGATGCTTTCTTCGAGCTCGCCGTAGTGCGTGCGCTAGATGAGCTGGGCCTGGCGTCCCCCCGGATCGCAATCTTTGCAATCTCCCAATGCACACGATCCGCGCGCAAGTGGCTGGTATTCGGGTGTCCTCTGCGCGAAAAGACATCATGCGCAGCCGAACGGCACCCGGAGCCTTCGTGGCAGGCGGACCTGCAGCGACAGCGCAGTTGTTCGCGCAGCTGCGCTATCCTCACCGCACTATCTATACCCAGGCGGTTCGCCTCCTCGAGCGTAAGTGGAGTCGGCCTCTCGCAGAGAGCGACGTATGCTGCGATAGCCCATTGATCTCTTATGTCGAACCTGCGCGAAAGGATGATCTTGTCGACCGCGCTCATCTCTAGCGACTGGAGCTCGCGAATGGCCAGTGCACGGATGTCTGCGAACTCCCATCGGATGGCAAGGTCCAGGATGGAGACCCACGCATCTATTCCGTGGGCATTGTGAACGCCATACCTCCTGAAATGCGTCAAAAGAGAAGATTCAGGTAAGGGAGCGATGCCACTCACGGAGGGTAGATGATCCACAACAGTCGTTCAAAATCGACGCTGGAGATCCCGGAGAGAAAGAGCGGACTATCGTCGCTCAATCCCTCGGGGATACATTCAGCAGGCTCCGGAAGCAAGAATAGCTCTCTCCAGACGGCGGAGTGTCGGGTGAATGACGACCTGAAAACCCTGAATAATGTTCCTTCCACCTGGTCATTCAACACAGTGTTGGTGCATAATGTATTCTACTGCAAGAATCGACATACGAGGATTACCAGATTCCCATCCTCGAAATAAAATTCAGGGTGACGCAACGGGGACATATTCGCGGACATGGTTGATGGACTTGACTCGAGCTTGAGATTGACTGTCTGGTTCCCAACTTGGAGACCGGTGAATCACGATAAGGCAGAGACGCTGACGTACCACTGCTCTTAAAGTGCCTTATAGCAAGGGTGCGTGTAACAGCGCAATGCACAGCTTCAACTCATCCTGCTCAGCAATTAGCGTATATGAAATCCACAAGCTTAAAGTGAGGTGTAGGTAACGTTACGGCCGCTTCTGCGCATCATCTTCGGAGATGAGTTGTGTATTGATACGAGCAAAAAGTTACAAGCGTTGTAGCGTACCAGATCCGACAGTGTGAGGAATAAGCAACAACGATTGTTAATTTTCAGACTTTCCGGCAGCACTGGATAACGACTCTCTTTCTGCGAAAACTCGCTCGAATTCTTCGAATGTCGATCTGCCTAGGATAGCGAAGACGACACGCTCAAACGAGCCCTTGAACCTCCCGCCATCCTGCAACAGCAAGTCCGCCCACACGTTCGCCACGAGGCTCACGTCGTTCTTGAACACGCCGGTTCCAAAGCTGCCCAGGACCACGTTCTTAATGCCCTGGCGCTCGAACAAGAATAGTATCCTCGCCATGCGTTCGCGCATGATGCGTGCAATCTTCGTCTCAGTGACGGATCCATCGTCGTCTCCCTGGGATTCCCGGCGAACCACACCAGCATTCACCGCGCAGCTGGTGAGAACATCCATGCGATAGGGCTCGACCCAGCCTCCCGCATCGTCACGAAAGACGATGACACCAGGCGAGTAAAGCATGGCATGCGAATAGTACCCGTCTCGACCATCGCGCAGGTGCAGGGCGTAGAATGTCTGAGAGAGGGGCGTAACAAGCGTGAGATAGAGCGTGGAAGAACGTGCGATCGATTCCTCCTGCGCTTGCGCACCATTTTTGAAACCGCCGCCTGGACTCGTTGCGGACGCGAAATTGAGCACGCCGACGCGTGGAGGAGGATCACTGAAAGTGGAAAGCAGGCGGGCCCCTTCAAGTGTGGAGATCTCGAGCAATGAGATTTCTACCGCCGCAGATGACTGAGGTGTGGAAGCCATCGACTTCCATGCATATAGCAATGAATCAGGAGCGTAGTACTGAGTACCCTTCTTTGACGATATAACGTCTGCGTTTAGATCATAGACGGTGTCGTTCAAATGATACGATCCTTGATCGATGGCCGCCAGTGTCTCCTCCGCTATCGCCTTCAGCCGTTCCTGTCGTTCATCGCGTCGACCTGATATAGAATCGATGCTCTGCCAGATGAAGGATGAAAGCGACGTCAGCATCTCGTTGTCCGGACGAACATCTACACAGACCTTTTCCCTATGATTTGCGCACATCCTGACCTATGCGGCACTGGGTATCGCTGTTATGATTCGATGCTAGCTGTAAAGCCCGCCGGAGTCACGGTCTGGGAAGTGGAGGATGCCTCAGTGGTAAATCGATGGTCACCACTCAAAGTTCGAGGGATTTTGCCCCGCGCGTTTACGCTAAAATGGACACGCTACAGTGGAGATGCCGGACGAGGCTAAGGACGCAAAGATAGTATAAGAATGAAGTGCACATGACATTGACCTGACCGACAAACTCTGATCGACTCGCTCGGGTGCATCAAGTTTCATGGCAAGCAGAGACTCTGGCGCGCCTGAGTGAATCGTACGAGAACGAGGTCTCCGTTCTTGGGCTGACGCTCGCCTGAATGCCTGTGGCTGCCAGCTGTGTGAGGGCCGCGCCTTCCAGCATGCATACTAAGGCAAAAACTATCAATCCGGCCAAGGACCCCTGTTGCTACATTACACGGTACAACAAGATCAAAGCGTGAAGCCTCCTGCCTCCTCACAAAAAGAGATCCAACCCCAACTGAGACGTCGAAATCTGTACATCGCCCAACTCCGTTTCATTACGATCGCTCGGTAGCCATCGCACAATTCCCTCGGCCACCCTGCCTCCAGCCGAACGGTAGTCTACACTCCGCGTTCGGCCCCTGCCCGCAGGGTCCTCCACTGCGGGGTCTGCATGCACGGTAGGCCGACCCAGGAAGCCCGACGAGATCAATCTGAACGTGCCCTCGTACGTCGGATGCAGCTGCACATGTGCTGGTCCGTTCGACGTACGTGCATGCATGTGCAGCCTATGGTCGACCGGGGAATAGGGATAGGAAATCGAGAGCGGGCTGTTGCTGGTGGAGATGCGTGCGGTGAAGTTGCCCCCCGTCCCGCTTGGCAGTGTCGAGTACAGTGAGATGTTCGCACCAATGGGACTGATAGGCTAGTGAGCCAACCAGTACGTTCTCCGAAGAGGATATGATACCTACGAGTTGGAGGTCCTCATCTGCAGACCGGTCACAGGGCTGTTCACGTTCTGTCCGTTATAAAGCGCGACGTTGGCCCTTATAGGAGAATTCGAAGTGTCCAGTTCAATATACGTGGATGAGTTGAACGACCCTTCAATAGGCGCGTTCGACGTCCTCACGTTGAGAATGTCGCTCCATAGTGACTAAATTCCTCGAATCAGCCCCAATCTGATGCTCTGGCCTCTGGATCACTGACCTGAACATGAACAGGCACGTTGGATGTTGTGAAGAGTACTTTATCGAATTTGAAGCTGTTGCTTAGCGCTCCGGCATAGTGTACAAACATCGGAAGGTTGGTATTGAGGGTCTTCAACTGGCGAAGCGAGCCATCCTCGGCCGGGGGGAGATGAACCTTCAGCTCATACTGTATCCCACGGTGGTGGTGGTGGCCCGCCCAGTGGTGAGGAGCCTATCCATAGAACGTCAACTGCCGCGCGATTTGCACCGACAAGCCAAGCCACCCACGAAAATGCCAATGCCGTTCTTGCCTTCCTCAGGCTGGAGCAAGCAGACCTTCGTAAGCTCGACGAACTCGTCGACGTCGTTAAAGTATGCCATGATCTCCACTTTCGCGGTATCCGAGCCAACGTCCCCGGTGTCCGTGAACTCGATGGAGCCATGCGCGAGCGCCGCAGTACCGCGTGATTCGAAAAACAGCACGTCAGACGAGACCGGGAGGTCGAAGGATGCCTCTGCAACATGAGCAAAGCCGTGAGGTGGAGGCGGTGTGTCTGGATCGAAAGTCCATTGCGCCGGCTGAGTGCACGAATCTGGGACAGTAGGGGGAGACGCCATAATGCCCAAGTTGCTGTAACGTCCTCTGAGGCAATTGAACTAGTCGAGCGATCAGCATAGATGAATGAGGGACAGCTTGGAACGGCGTACAAGACTGAGGCGCATAGCCTTTCGCGCAAGCGTAGGGAGGACGAAGAGGAACATCGCGCTCAATATCGTCGCATGAAGAAGCCTCATCCTAGTACGCCTCCGTGCACGGAGTCTGTCCGCATCGGGCGACGGAGATCGCATGTTGGAGGCCGCTTGGAGTCCCTGATACGGCGTGGATGCAGGAGTGTCGACCAGCTTCTCGACGTCCATCGTGTTGTTCATGATGTTGGAAGAAACCTTGAGTCTGCCGTTAGTACATCGCGCCTCGAACAAAGTGCGCTTTATGTATCAACCTAAGAAGGCCTGCGGAAGCCAGACCCATATGGTTTTCGCTGCGCACTGCGAAGCGCAGTCATGGGCTGTCCTCGACTCCGGCCACGAAGATCACAGGCGCGCTCATGCATCAGCTCCGTTGTCTCGGTACGCTGCATTCTCGGAAACGCGGACGTTCGAAGCGCTTGAAAGCCTATCCGCAGCCATGCTTTAGTAGTCACTAGTCACTTCTTCTGCACAGGCGCAGCTGATCCGCGCGGCTTCGCGTAGCCGCACGGGTGAATGATGGACATCACATTGCATGCTGGCGCTACCAGCGAACAAGCAACTGCCGGTGTGTCCGACGCGTGTATGCTGCTGAGCGCGTTTCTTCCTCCTCGAGATCGGCGGTGTTGAAGGGCTGATAACCTGGCATGATGTGAGCACAGAGCATCGTGCGCTGTTGAGCACGTTGGTCGAGCCCAGGTCGCAGGCAATTTGCAAGCCAACCCAACTTGCCTCGAGGTTTAGAGTTGGTGCCGCGGTCCGAAATGAATCCTGGAGCACCTGATCACGTAGACGTTTTGATGACATCGTCCCTTCAAAGAGGTTTCGTTACAAGTCGTTTTTCGATAGGGGCGTTGTCACCTCCGAGTCACCTTGAAGCTGCCGATCGCGATCGCGTTCCTTTAAAGGTCGTCGCCAGTGGCGTTGCTTTTCGTTCTGCAACACGTTGTTAATTACGAGAATCACGGGTATGTCTTAGAGTGCCAGCGACGACGAAGATTCCTGTACACGCGTGAGCTCGAGGAATGAATTAGCCGTGAGAGATTTGAGTAAAGGCATGCATGTCGTTGCGGATGTCTGATGTCTTTGCTGAGCGGGCGGCTATCGTTGTTAAAACAAGCGATTACAATCGCTTTTACAAATTCTGAGCGTCCTACTGCCGAAACGGACCTGATAGGCCTCGGAGGACTTGACAGAAGAATTCTCCCATCATGAGATTTTTCGGTACGTGAAGCGCTATAGCGTATCAGCTGGCAATGCTCTCGGAAAGACATTACTGTGATCGCCGAGGAGGCAGTTATCCAGTCGATCTAGTGCGATAACCCTATAGTACCACACAAGCGACGGACGCAGAGAGTGCTGAAGTTGGTTCGGATGGATGCTGACCGCGGTCAGAGGTAATCTCGCCTCAGACAGCACACGACAAGACCTGAACGCGGCCTTTTAGTAGGGTCTCGTTTGAACTGTCGAGTTTACGCACCATGTGTCACGACGTGTACGTCCGGTCGTCAGCATTCACGCTGCTTTTGGTCCACTTATCCAATGCTCGTCCTTCAATATCCTCATGGCCCCCTTCTCCCCTACCCACGCCTTGAAGAGGCGGACCCTCGAATCATCTATCGATCCCTTCTGTCCATCAATAGTGGCGCCGTCAAGCGATACCCAAAAGGGAACGTTATAGCCCTCCACGAAAAGCTTCAGCTCATTCTTGTCCGTACCCACTTCAAGCTTGCAGTTGCGTATCGGGAATACGAGACCACGTTTCCGCCAATGAGCTGCGCTTTGCAAGACAACACGGCGATCGTCTACTGGCTTCGGTGGCGAAGCGGGCTGCTTTGTCTTTGATGACCTGGAGGAAACTGAGTTTGCAAACGAGCTTTTGGTCGCTCCGATGCTTGCAGCGGCAGTAGCAGGGTTACCGGAGGGGAGCAGGTACAGTTTATGGACTATGCGCAATCGGCCTGTGATGATGAAGGCGGCGAGACCGAGGCCGATGACGAATGGACCAGCAGTGACGAAAAGTCTCTGGTACCAGGGACGTAAAACGTAATGACCATTCCGTGGTTCCTTGCTGTCACCCTTCGGCTCAGCTTTACTCTTGACGGTTTGGGAGGATGCTGGCAACGGTTCCCATCGCGTCCAGTGGGTCCATGTCAGCTCGGAGAATGTGAATCTTCATACAAAGGGTGTCAGACGAGCACACTGCTTGGAGACTTGATCGGCACGGACTAACACGGTAAAGATATTTGCTGCTACGAAGAAGTAGGCTCCGCGAATGTACCATGGCGGTTTCCGCTCAAATAGAGGCCTGACACCTTCTAGGGAGTCAACGCCCTGCGCACGTAGGGATATATTTCTCCTCGTTGACAGGAGACGGACTTTCAGCGATTGCAGCACATGTCGCATCCTGAAAAGCAACTGCAGAGCGCAGACGGGGAGCTACATGTGGGATTAAAATCGAGTACTGGCTGGACCGATCACGGGACCGTGACGCGTTATGACACGTCGCGTCAAGTCGGGGACGCGTGTTGGGCATCGACTTGGTCCCAGCAAGCTACGGATTGAATGCCGTAGATCTATGCATTTCTCGCGCATGGTATGAAAAGATCAAGCAAGAGAATCGATCATCCGCAACGTCGCCCAGAAGGGCGTCAAATAGCGGTGCAAGACGAGAATTAGTAGATTCATAATCAATCGTTATTCACGTATCAGGATCCCGACGATCAATCGTACAAGCACAACTCTACATATAACCAGCGGGACACACAGCCCCGAAAACAATCGACATCACGCATCATAGACTGAGCACGGCAGGCGCATTCGACGTGCGCAAGCTGACAGAACCTACATGCACCCCGCTCTCCGGCCTGCCCCAGCTCACCTCGCCAACCATCGTCTTCCCAACTTGCGATTCCGTCATGTACCTTCTGCGCCCCCTGCCGGAGGGGTCCTCCACGCGACCGTCATAGAACACAGCGGGCTTTGCGTTGGACGTGCGCACCTCGAAGGAGCCCTCGTACGCGGGGTTCACCGTGGCTGATATGTGGGCGTTCGACGTCCGCGCGATGGCGTCGAGACGGGAAGAAGACGCCGAGAAAGGGAAGGTTAGGCTGAGCGGTCCGTTGCTCGTTTCCGAGGATACTTCGAACGATCCGCCTATGGAGGGATGAGAAGGCGATGTGGATATGAGATTCACGCTGGATATGATGGCGCTTCAAGCCAGAAATGAGTGAGCGAGAGTGAGCAAAGTTCGGTTGAGAAGGATCGCGTTCACGTACGCGTTGGATGTGTGCATGTTAACTTTGGTACTGCTTTCGTTGAGGTCGTCATGGTACAGATATACGTCTGCCCTGATATGTGCATTGGACGTCGTCAACGTCAGCGTGTCCGATGTGTGGAATTCTCCTTCAATCGCCCCATTCGTCGTTCTGAGCTCCGCACGCTCGGCATGCACGGACTATACATGCAACGCAATCTTTGATCATCATGCCGGTTCATGAGAACGGCTGACCACACCTACCTGCACATGAATGCGCGCATCTTTTGACCGCAAGGAGAGCGTCCGAAACAAGAGCTCGCTCGGAAGCTCATCCACATAGTGGGAAAACATAGGCAGATCGGTCTCGAAGGCGGATACATTCAAGGGATACTCCGTGGACGTGGCTGGCATAAGAACCGTCACTTCGAAGCGAAACCGCGCAGATGGTGAAGTGCGCCATTTCATGGGCGTCTGTAGTTCATATCACGATTGATTACAAGACCCACAAAGTACAAGTGAAGATCAATCCCTACCAAGAGAGCGATACCGCGCTGGCCTTCCTCCCGCTCCATCAGGCACACACTGGCGACTTCCAAGTCCGCCGTCGTCGAATGCAGTAGGGAGACTTCCACCCGTGCGGAGTCTCTAGGCGGCCACTGCGAGTCCTGGACAAAGTGCACGGTCCCCCTCGATAACGTTCCCCGGGAGAACAGGTACAAGGCATCTAGGGATAGCGGGAGCTCGAATGACGTGGTAGGGTCTGGCAGGCCGTGTTGCGACCACTCCGGGTAGCCGCTCACACATCGGATGATCCTGCCATCGCTCGCTAGTGGCCATCCGAGCCGATCATCCTCTTCCTCTGGGATAGAACGCCACTTTCAACCCATGCATTCAGCATGCGATAACGGTTGAATGAGAGGAAAGGCATACCCGTGGATGCCGTGACTTCCGAAAAGCAGAGTCGACAGTGATGCTTGCCAGGAACGCAAGGACGGCCCAGATAGAGAACGCGACGAGGAACGCCTTGATGAACCTTCGTTCGGCCGGTTCACCCTTCTTGGTCTCCTCACGAAGGGGAAGCAACAGACTGCGAGGACCTGCATGAATACCATAGCTAGCGACAGCCCGGGCCCAGTCTGATTGAGGGCCGGGATACGCGGGAGGAGGCGCGTGCTCCACATCGTACTGCGGAGATGCCTCCGAGAGGCGCTGCTGGGTCTTTTTTGGAGAGGCGGGGGTGTCGTCGATGATCATGGCGTGAAGATGAGGTGAACCACTCCTCCACTGCAAGACGTCTATCTCCGACGATTATATAGGCTGTGCATCATCGCTGGCGCTATATTGCCAACACATGAGCGGAAGAGCATATGGTGCTGATAAAGCGACGCGCGAGACGACTGCGCAGAACCGCTCGCTAGTTACAGATAGCGCATTGGGCCTTGAGCGCAGCAGGGACGCCCGCAGATCAATGATGCATCCAGGTGTTCGCTGAATGCGAGGTTGAAGCTCGCAGTGTGGCCGAAAGGATGAGATAAATGCGACTGGAAGTTTGCTTGAGATCAGCAGCAGCTATCCATGCCGGCAGAAGATGCTGCTAAGAGCGCATTCATCTGTGAAAAACGCGCGACAGACACTATTGGAAGCCTAGTATGCGTAATCGAGTAGACAGTCCAAAGCCCACATCGCGTCCAGAGAGTCGCATGCGCATGTCTTCGCACGTCGTCGCGTGCAAGTCGAGTCCTCTCGGCGCTTGCTCACACGTCCACCTTGCCTTCACCACGATGGTACGTTACTCAAAATAACATGCCTATCCCAAAACTGACCGCCGCTCCTAGCTACCCCTATCCCTGCTCAATGCAGCCCAAAACAAACCCATGGTAAGCGTCGCAAGCTCGGTCCATACGGCGTTTCGGGCGGACTGAATGTTCAGATCGCGCGCAGTTGGTCGAGCTGAAGAACGGCGAGACGTTCAACGGGCACCTCGTCAACTGCGACAACTTCATGAACATCACGTTGCGAGAGGTGTACCAGACCAATGCGGAGGGCGACCGGTTCTGGAAGCTCAAGGAGTGCTACATTCGCGGGAGCACGGTGCGTCGTGGCGCGTTCTGGCAGCGTGCGGTTTCGGACGCTGAGACGCGTTGGTTGTTGTGCAGATCAAGTACCTGAGGGTGCCGGATACGTTGCTGGATGCGGTCAAGGAAGAGCAGAGTAAGGCGAGGGAGGTGGGCAGGAGCGCGAGAGGAGCGCATGTCAGTGGTGCGGGTGGTAGAGGTATGCACGCTATACATCGCTGGTCGAACGGATCGTTCTAACATGCTCTTTGGAACGATTTAGGACGAGGTGCTCCGCAAAGAGGTAAGCTCTCCATACACTCTCGATGCAGCTTTTGATCTCATAAACATGCACAGGACGTGGAGCGGTACGCGGTGGGCCCATGCGCGGGGCCCGGGGTCGTGGAAGGGGTTGATGCCGGATGGGAGGGAATGCAGGACGAGCCGGTATACTTTTCGAGGCTACCCTGCACTTGCGTGCTAGTGTATTGTATTTGGCGTCTCATGAACCAGTGCGTTGACGCCATCTTGTGTTGGAATGAACTTTGCTTTCTTCTTTTCGACACTGACCAGACTGTCTGCCATCTCTACGCGATCATCATCGCGGTATAGTATATGTGCGAACAACTCGCGGCGGGTTCAAGGTGAGGATGCAACTTAGATTGGGGTCTTGGGTGTCAGGCAAAGTGCATCAAGGACGTGGTTCCTTCGATCCATCCTCCCTTCCGTACTCGGGACGGCTTACTATGTGAGCCTATCTTCTGCGGGAGATGAGAACCCAGAGTTTCTGAGCACGGCGAACCGAACTTCTTGAGCGTAAGTGGTGGTGTAGCTGCCGGGAAAGGGCATGACAATGCTGGACATGCTTGGGTGGAAGAAGAGGCATTAATTACGAGACTGGCGAGCGAGCGAAGCAAGTCGATGCGGCGCGATCCAAGTTGTATACCGACTCTGTGATGATCTTCTATTTGAAGACATACATTTGGGATGCATTCCGAATGGATAAGTAGCAGAGTGTAAGCATATGCGTGTCACTTTTCGACCCTCCTTAATCGACCACGTCTTCTCGAACCTCTCTTGTCTCTCCCCTGCACACTGATTTTCAGTTGTTGACTGGATATCCGGCGCGAACGTCTCCATCTCCGCTGCAGTGCAAGGGATCGTACGGGCTCTCGTTCGATGAGCCTCGGGGTCCGGCAAAGATGTCGTTGCTTGACCAGGTGGGGTGAGTGCATCATGGTACGATGGGCACGACTAGCTGGTTGTCCATCCAGTCCGAATCGGCACGGGCATGCGCGGCATCTGGGCACACCCCGCGTCCCGTTGCCAGACGTCTCGGTGCGCCCCGAGCTTATCTGGACTCGATAGCGGCGCTGAGTTCACTTGCAACTGCAAGGAAAAACGATGTTCAGCGTTTATCGTGCGGCGTAGCACAAGCGGCAAACTTACTCGTCTCCAAATCCCTGAGGTCCCACATTTCTTGCCGCTTTCTGGCTGTCTCCTCTTCCTCCTTACTCCTGGGCTTGCGCCCGAGAAAAACCTCCTTCCAGCCGATCTCGCCCTCCTTCTCGCGCATGCGCTCGACGATCGTTTCCTCGCCCTGTTCTTCGGTCTGGCTGCGCGCGAGCCGGAGCACGCGGTCGAGCTCGGGGGGCGGGATGCGCTCGCCGGCGCGGAGGCGGCCGACGGTGGACTCGAGGATGGAGATCTGGGCGGAGAGGTGGGCGCGGTCGGTGGTGGCGGCGTTGCGCTGGCGGACGAGGTGGATGGCGATGGAGGTGAGGGCGAGGGAGGAGAGGAGGTGGGGGACGTAGGCGGCGCTGAATGGGGTCACCCGGGGCATTGTGGCGTCGGTCTGCTACGCCGCGGTCGGAATATTATAGGGTGCTGTCAGTGTATTAGTTGTTGTGCGCGATGGAAGCCTACTTGCCTTGTTTGAAGAAAAGCTCCGGGGCGTGGACAGGGCAGGGGGCACTGACAGCGACCGCCGCTACACAGCCTGCATAGATTTATTTTTCCACGGGAAACCTGATGCAAAAATGGTGAAAATATCTTATGTCTGGATATGGAAATAGTTTGGAAATTGGGCGGAGACAATTAAATTATGTTACGATTGTTTTACCGAAACGTATCAGCAATAGTGAAACTATTTCCCAAAGGAAGATATTTCAGTCCAAAAATACGTGATACCGATATGTTTCGGTGAAGCAATTGTAACGTAATTCAATTGTCTCCATACGATTTCCAAACTATTTGCATATCCAGACTTAAGATATTCTCACCATTTTTTCATCAGGTTTCCCGTGGAAAAACAAATCTGTGCAGGCTGTGCTAGACGCGAGTGTTTTGCGAAGGGCACGTCAAAGCCGAGCCGCTAGAAAGAATATTAGCTCGCCTGATCAAGGTGAGCTCTCGTCCGTCTCCGCGGAGAGACGGAGGATGCCGAATCGGGAGATCGCGTGGCCGTTCCGCTGGAAAGATTCTGACGCGCGATGTGATCCAATCGCGCTGTGCTCGCTCCCATCTTTCTCACCGTCATCCTGCCATGATTCCCCCCGTGAACACTCTTCCCTTCTCGCCCACTTCTCCGCTTTCGACCCTACCTAGCTTTTTAACGACCCATCATGTTTGACGACGCCGAACGTTCCGCTCGCATTGAGCAGGTGAGCCGTGCACGCGACTCCGTGGGATGCGCTCGCATCTCAATTCGGTGCCCCCCGCAGATCTGCCAGCGAGTCGAGGAGGAGTGCGAGCGCCGTGCGCGCGAGGAGGAGCTAGCAGAGGCGCAGGTCGCCTCTCAAGTGGACGCAAACGCGGTAGACATGGACCTGGCGCATCGCGCTAAACGCGGTAGCGTCTCCATTTCGCGATTTGGCGAGGTATGTGCCATCTAATAAATTCCGTCAAGTTTATTATTATTATGGGATGTGCGTATGGTGAGAATAATGTGTCGTGCTAACGCGCTACGGACACGATGGCGGCTCTCTAAGGGCTCATCGCCCGATACGTTTGTTGCAAAACGACTGCTTGCTCTTTGGCTGCCCCCGCTCAACGTGCGAGACGGCCGATGTTTGCGGGGGCATTGCTGGTACACTGCAGGGAACAGACCTCGATGGGTTCGAGGACGCTCTGGCTATGCCGGGCGGTGTATCCATTCGATGCGCGCTCATCTCGTGCACATCAAGTTTCGCTGTCGGCCGCCTTCTGTCAAGTCTCGACTGTCAGGCAGATGCACGTGCTAGATATCGGTGACATTTTGCGTGCACTGGACATGTCCCTCTTATATTGCAGTCTATACAGCAGCGAGCGCGCGAATCCTTGTGTGGTCTCCCGCCAGGCGTCTTGATGCACTGTGCATGACCGCTTACGCCCTTATCCGTGACTTTTAAGTTCTGCAGACTGTCGCTCACTTTTCTTATCTTGCAGCCAATCCAGTCCTCCGCCATACATGCACCAACGCCTAGCACACCTTCTTCCGCGGCCGCCTTCGTTGTGCGCAAGCCGACATTTTACCAGGTACAGATGCACGTAAGTTTCTTCACCCTTCTTCCCTCTTTCATCTCGCTCATCCCCATCACAGACTGGCTCTGCCGACTCATTCGCCTCCCTCCAACTGTCACACGCCTCCCGTTCACCGCCGCCCATTGACGAGCCGGACCTCGCATCGGAGCAGGTCGTACAGATGGCGAAAATTGCCGCGCGTGGTTCGCTTTCGATTTCCAAGGCATTCTCGCGCGCGCGCTCTCGTCCGGCCATCATCGGGCCGTCGGTATCTCAGAGCCTTGTCATCGGTGTGCAGGTGCAAGAGGCGACGGTTGAAGTCTCGGAGGGCGCAGAGGATCTGGCGCGTAGCAGGACGGAGATCAGCGCTCCGTATGGGCGGCCGAGAGGGATGAGCGGGGGCGTGGGCGGGTGCGGGAAGGGCGAGCGGGGGTGGCTTGGGCGCGCGAGGTCGATGACGATGAAGCTTAGACGGAGGAGCGTTGCTGCCCTCGTGCAAGGCTCTGCGCGCTGAGTGAAACGCTAACGCTCCACGATCTTCTGCGTCCCAATCGAACACGGCATCGCACACCTCGTACAACAACGTTCATCGACAGTTCACGGGATGCGGGATGGTGAATGGAACACGGAAGAAAAATGGTCGCCGTACAGGCCACATACCTGCTTTCCCCTGCTGCATCCTCATCAAAGTCGCGATATACCCATCATGAATCTAACGACCTCTGCCCACGTCCTGCAATCTGCTCAATCTCATCTCGCATCGCTCATCTGCTTTTTCCTGCTTGCTGCTCGATGCTCGGATCTCCTCTCGTATACCCCCTGTCGTCACCGCTGTCATGTCTCGTCACGATTGGTTCTTGTCTGATTTTGTCTCATGTCGATGTCCTGCACGATGCTCATCATGATCTCACGCCGTTGTAGTAGCCGCTGCTTTGTATGTGTGTGTGTATGTCAGATATATTAACGGGTGTAGACGCAGTGCGTGGTGGTTTAGCCTAGCCTTTTTGCATGAGCAGAACCCCGCGCACGAAGCAGCACGGTCGTGCGTCTATATGATAAATAGTTTCCTCGTGGAAGATCCCCGCCGTAGGCCCAATTCGGCAAGGGCATCGTTGCTCTAGGCAGGTCCTCTTTTTACATTTTTACTTCCCCGCACTTCCTATCAAACATTCGAGCCCCGCTTCGTCTTCTGTCACATATTCATTTATAAGGCTGAGCTTGGACATTGAGTGAGAATAGCTGCTCTCTCTCCGCCTCCTTTTTAATGTCGTTTCGCGCTGCTTTGTACGTTCTTCTCGAGGTGATGTGGTCCTCTTGGAGCGCAGATGGGACGCTTCGCTCGATGAATGTACCTCTCGCTTTGAGCTGAGGCTGATCTGAGAGGCTGTGGGATCTGCAGTCGTTTCCCGGGAAGCACCAATGAACAGGCTAATATACATTGCTTTACAGGGAAGAGGCGACCTGCAGCTGGGAGGAATGCGACGACGCGACGCGCCACACCACGTGCAGGCGTTCATTAAGCTAAGCGCCCATGTCTCCTGTTTCAGGTTTGAGGAACGGCGAACGTGTACCACAATTGAGCCTCTCACAAAAAGGAGCTCGCTTAGCGTGGTGCCTCGATTGACCATGGTGTCCGCCCCTCCACCACGCCTCCTTCCCAGCAATAAGTAGCAGCAGCCGCCCCCTATAGGGGCCCACACTTCTCTTCCTTCTCACCCTCATTCTCGTTACCTTCGATCATCCCGTTATCGCTGCACGATTCGGATCAACGACGCTAGCTGCGGTAGTGCATTCTGCCATCTGTCTCGGGTTCTGGAAAAGGTTTTGGGTTAGTTTTTGAAGGTGAGGATGAACGTCGTCCGGAGTGCTGGCGAGCGTGCTAAAACTAGCGATGGGTAGATTGAAC